GAGAAGAAAGATGCTTTAACATCGGTGAGGTCTCAAGTTCAGTGCTGTTAGTCCGCTATAGATTACAACAACAAAGACTTCCACTAATTACGGGGCGTCCGTTCTTAACTAGAAATACGTGTCTCGCATACCCTTGGAAAACTCGGTTTTAAATAGCGCCACTCAAGTTAAGCCATGTTGGGCGGGGTTTGGAACTAGACCAGGGTGAGGGGTCTTTAAGACAGGATACTCGCGGCGGGTACTTCTTTCTTTCTTTTCTTCTTTTTCTTCTTTTTATATTGTCCAGTGTTATTCTTAAATTCATACGGTAAAGCATATTAAGCATTATTTTGGCCGCCAGATTAAAAAAAAAATAGAAATCAAACAAACAAGGTGGGTTCATTGGGTAGGAAGCTGAAAACGGTCTTTGATCCACCGGTAGGGAAAGTGCTAAGTTAATTCTTGGTTTGCCTCATTATCACAAGAATTTCAAGGTCCATTTCCGAGTGGAAGCAAGGTTTTCCTGGTTTTGACAGTAAAAGGCCAAACTGAAATGCACTTCCGAGTTCCGACACGCATAGCCGTCGGTCCAAATTGCTTCAATTTTCTCTGTAAAAAACTTCTGCCGGCGAAATTCATCGCAAAAGCATTTTACGATCGTCAAAAAGGCTGCAAAAACAACGGCCCAAGCTAGATTGATGACGTCATTGCGGATACCAAGAGATACACAGAAATATAGTTAATTAAGTCTTGATTCTGCCTCGCTGTGCAATGCGACAACCGTTCCACGCGCGATACGAATTTCGACAAATTACAAACCTACATAGTACAGCCTTCGCTTCGCTAAGAAAATTTTAGAAGTTGATATTCTTACTGATGAGTATCCCACACGCATGCAGCCGCGACTATCACACAGACGCATCAAGAAGACCATGGGAAATAGTTTGGGGTCAACAGAACTCGCTCATTTGGAGCCCACATTACCCGGAGTGAAAAACTTCCATGTACCAAAAACCATAGCCCACAGGATTTTGGGACACCGGAGATTTTTAAACAATTTTGGGAGAAATTCTGAAATTCTAAATCGGGCTCGCGAGAACTCGCACCCCTCGCATTTGCGCGAGCGTCTTCCACGCAGGCTATGATAGGATGTTCGAAGCAGTGATTTACCTTATTCTTAGAAAAAGAAAAAAAAGGAGGAAAACAGGGCAAATGAGAGGGGAAAACGGCACCCCCCCCGAGGGGTCACTCTAGTGGTTGGTGCTTGCGGAAGCAGTACGGACCTTTCAAGCTCTTTTATCTTCGAACTCTATTTATGGGCTCCTACTTTGGAACAAGAAACCTTATTTTATAACGCAATATAACAACAAAACAGCATAGAAAAACGCCACTGAAGTTTTCCCTGTTCTTGGGACAGTGAAGCCGGCTCCTTCATTATATTTAAGATTTTGCCTTTCCTAGTTCCGCCATCCTGTTACACCAAGAAATTATTCTCTCTTGGTCACACCCTTCTTAATGCCTGGGTTATTTTTCCTTTTGATTAACCAGTGAGTCATTAAAGTAATTCTTTTCCTTGCGTTCTCTGTCATGTCACAAATATCCTGAAGATTTAATTTAGAGGGATACTCAAAAATGTTTTATACGGGGAGGCACCGCTCCAAAGTCCAACCCCTCAGGGAAAAGATCCCCGGGAACCCGGGGGCGGGGTTCTCCCTTATAGATCCTTATATAGGCTATATAGGTATGTGCGGCGCCAGAGGGTATGGTTATTTTAGCCGTTTTGGTCTGAAATAGGGTATCAATTTTGACCATTTTGGTCTGAAAAGGGGTTTGGTCTGCGCACTTTAGTCTTGAATTGGGTATGTTTTTGAGACGAAGCTACTTCTTCATCATAAGGCGATAAGACCATTTCCCTTTTAATGTTCACGCCAACCGTGTACGTGTTTTGAACTAAAGCTGACCGGAAATTATAAACTAAAGCAGGTCTGAAATAGGGTATCAAATTTTTGATCAGGTCTGAAATAGGGTTGGGAAAATCACAGATTTTGGTCTGAAAAAGGGTAACGGTTTCAAGAAGCGTGCCGCACACCCCCACCCAACTTTTCTGGAAGTACCCCCCGGGCCTGGGAATAAAGTTTTTGTATACCATTTTTGAAAGAAAAGATACCCCTTTCGTATACCTTCTTTTGAAAAATGGTACCCCTCTCACATACCTACATTTTAGATCTTTCTATCCCTTTTAACTGATGTAACTGCACTTACTTTAACATATGAATAAATCACTAACCAGAACGTTTTCTAGCCTCTTACACAGCTACAAAATGCATTCTGTTCAGTAGCACTTTAGGCCCTTTGCAAACCGAAATGATAGATTTCCCTACCCTTTCATATACTTCAACTGGTGAAACCTCTACCCTTTCATATACCTGAGGTCTACAAAAAGTACCCGTTTCGGAGGACCCTCCCCCTGTAGGCCATTATAGGGAGTCTCCCCGGGGCAAGGACAAACTCCTTGTCGTGTGACTCAGTCTGGTCAAGTCTGGCCGTATCCAGTTAATGATTCCACAAAAGATAACTCATTTAATCTATTTAATCTACTGTTATGACAAAAAATAGTGAATATGCACTGTTCTTTTTAGAAAAAACACGAAAGGCCTTGACCGACCTTGACCTTGATTTTTTCTTTTCAGTCCAAATAAGGGAATGCCCTCCTACGCCCATCCCACGCGAAAACGACGATTACAGTACCTTTTGTCACTGAGAACCGTGGAGATCAAATCACGGCTTTTATTTATTTAGCTATATTTTTGCTTTTCTTCTTTGTGCCTCCTGCTTACCCCCTTGAATTTCAGAACAATCAAATAAAAGCTTTTTCCCATCATATTTTCACTGTTCGCGATCAATTCAATGGCCTTTGTTCTAAGATGACGCATTAAAACGGGATAAAATTATGCAAGAATTCCGGGTATTGTCAGAATGGCACATTTACTGCTTTTGTTTTCTGCTCAAGACTGATTAGACTTTGTAATGTGCCATTGCTTGGTTTGATTTCCGCTCCTGGTTCCACGTAAATGATTCTCATTTTATGCGGTATTTTTTAAAACAAAAATAATAATAACCAAAACCACCAAGAGACAATGCGTTATTTAACACCACGTTGGTTTTGATTTGAATATTGTCGCAATAAATAATCCACAAGTGGGACATCGACCAAACCTTCATACAATTACTGACGATTGATTTCTTGCTTATCTTCTTGAGTGGCCCAACACAGTGTTTACACACAAATTAACTAAAATAAAATTAAGCATGAAACTAAAACTCTTTACGATATATCGCGTAACCTGTTCGCTTGTATCGATTTGTAAGTTTCAAGCAACCGGAAGTGCCGTTTAAGGGAATTTTCCTCTTTCTTACCTTGATCTTCTGGTAGAATTAATCTTCTACAAATACTCCAGTCGAGTTTCTATCCAAATCCGGATGTTCCACGTTACGTAAAAGCTAAGAACTGCACGTCGACTAATGGTCGAGAAATGTATACCACTCTTGGACGGGACGGGACGTCTCACATGACAAACCGGTCTGGTGGGAATATGAACCATTGCGTCACGCATAGTGTTTGAAGCATGTTCCACTGTCCAGGAATGATAAGGCAAAAAGAATAAGACTGTGTGACATCACAAAAGATTCGAGCTTTTCTCCCTCCCCCTCTCCATTTCCTTTTTGCGCCTGCCACGCAGGCTAGGTTTTTGCAGGTACTGTAACCCCCCCCTAAAATGTTTCACAATGAATCAGGTAAAATGAGACAGATGAGCAGAAGATAATGTGAGAGGGGTAGGGTTTGGTCTTTGGAAAATTACCCCTTTACGAGGCTCGTCTGAGCGTTTACACGTTCTCTGCAATGTCAACAGTGTAAACAGAAAGGAAAAAAACTAAACCCCTTTCCTTACAGCGTCACTCATACCAGTTAATACCCCAGTGGCTTTGCGGCTAGCCACCTAAGAAGAGAGACTGTAGGAAACATTCAAAGAAAAAAAAAAGAAAAAAGAAAGAAAAACTTGGGATCAAAGCAACCAATTTGGGTGTGGTTCAAGCATTATTTATTCTTTCCTGTTTTGCTCCTTTTCGTTTACTTTTTTTAGTGCTTGAAATAACCTCACGCGATGCCTCAGTGCGTAGAAATATTGACGTACCGTCTGATTAACCCAAGTTACCGGACAAAATATGTATAATGGGATGCCCCCTCTCTCGCAATCAGATCATACGAAGGGGTGGTTTGTGAGACAGCAAGACAAGTTGCACGTTTTTTGTTGCCCGTTTTTCCGTACCTTAAGACAGGCCATGAGAGGAAGTGATCTCGCACAGGGTAGGGAGGCTACTCAGCAAGGTTTTACATGGGGACGAAGAGAGTGTGGCGCTTCACCTTATCCGCTAGCTTGGCGGCAAAGTCGAGGCTATGTTACCAGCGGTTGGGCCTTTATCCCAGGAAACACTCATTTTGGGCACTAGGATATCACTAAACACCCATTCCGCGGGCCCCCCGACGTAACAGAACACCCCTCCGGTGAGTTCCCGGGGGACACAACTGAACACAATTCCCGAGGCCCCCCTGGGGGACAAAACTAAACACACATTCCGCGGGCCCCTGACGTTACAGAACACCCCTTCGGTGAGCTCCCGGGAGACACAACTGAGGGACAAAACCCATTCCGCGGGCCCTCCGACGTAACAAAACACCCCTTCGGTGAGCTCCCGGGAGACACAACTGAACACGCCTTCCATGGGCCCCTGAGGGACAAAACTAAACACCCATTCCGCGGGCCCCCTGACGTAACAGAACACCCCTCCGGTGAGCTCCCGGGGGACACAACTGAACACACCTTCCATGGGCCCCTGAGGGACAAAACTAAACACCCCTTCGGCGGGCCACCGGGGGACGTAACTGAACACCAGGAGCCCATGACTACATAAGCTCCCGCTGAACACCTAATTTTTAAAGTCAAGATAGGATAATTATACTTCCTCGAGGTGCTTTATTCTGCAACTTAAATACCCTAACCTACTGCGTTAGAGGTTTTTCAGGCTAAATTTCATTTCATTATTATAAAAATAGTTACCATGTTACCCCTAAAGGCTTTACCTTAGCTTTGTAAGCTGCTTTATGTTTGGGCGCTCAAAAGGGACGTCACGCACTTGTACATGAGAGCGAGCCTCGAGTAGAAGGAATGAGGGGAACAACTGTCCACTCCGCCTTCTCAGCGCACGACGTTCCCTCACATTTCACGTTGATGCAATATTTTGTACACTATTTCAGCCACCTTATACAGTACGGTAGCATCATTTTTGGCATATAGGAGATTTTCGTATGACCTTTACATTATATACTAAGTATAAGAAGTTACAATGACGAAGAAAGGAACCTTGTCACGGTGCCCTATCACAAAGCAAGACTTAAAAATAATCGCTGACAAGAGTTCACTCATGCACGAGAAGCGTGCGCTCTTTAGTTTCTCCAACATAAAATAACTGAAATTATGCTAATGGTTAACATATTATTCCTTGATAGCTATGTTCTACGTTTTACGCTACCTAACATTTTACTAAAAGTTTCTATTGGGTACTGATCATCCAGCATAATGTTCGCAAATTTAATCTTTCACTTGTGAAAACAAAACAAAGTTATTTTTATAGCTACAGGGTTCAAATCACTCATTAGAAACCAAAGAAAAAACAACACAAGATCAAATTTCTTTTTTTAAAAATCCTAAATAAGTAGTAAGTATGGCAACCCCATAAAATTTCGTTCACAAACTTAGAGCTAAGTTAGCCAGTCAGAGTGGCAAATAATCTCGCCCTAACTTTGTCTAAGGGTCAATTTAACAAAACTTTTACAGGACAGTGTAATTTTTAAGTGTAGAAATTGTTTTCACCCTCTAAACCAATGGCTACGCTAGTAAATTGCTCTTGTAAAGTTTTAATAAATTGACCCTCGGAGTGAAAGAAAAAAAAAGGTTCAAATGTACTATGCTTTAAACACAAAAACCTTCTTGAAATAGCCTCTCTCAGAAGGGCTACAACAAAAATAAACAACAACAACAAAGAAAACAACAAAATATAACAAACACCACTAATATCATTGCCAGCTGTAGAGATTATTTGCAGTGTTACTGCTATACTATAAAAGAAATAGAAAACTCTTTTTCCTAGTTTCTAGAAAGCTATGGTAATAAATTTACTAGCTGGGATTTTGTTGCTAAATATAGAACGGGGCTGCAAAAGGCAGCTGGACTTGGTATTGTTTTGGCTTAAGGTTCCATAGTCCCATACCCCTTCCCCTCTCTTAGAGTAATGTCATAGAAAGAGTGGGGCATTTAATAAATGGCTACAACCAGGATTTTATTGCCTTTTCGCCTGAACATTCTACTGGTGTGTGTAAGTCTCTTGAAACAGAGAACGCATTTTCTATTTCCATCTTTCCACTTTCTATTGCATAAATTGACTTCCATATTAATAACATTGCATTCTACAGTATTTTCAGTTGCTCTGACTTATTTTATCAGACCTTTGCTTAAATTCAAACACTTATATAATAATAACATGAGTGATTTGACTGTGGAGTACAAAATCTACAAAATATTACACTTCAGTGAAACATTACTATTAATAACAACTCCACAAATATTACAACACTATATTCAGTTTACATTGACTGATTCAAGCGAGAGCGAGTCTAACAACAATACCTTGCTGTGACACAAAAACCCTGCATAACACACCTTATTTAGCCAGGCATAAAGCTAGCAGTCTAATTGAGTACAACGCAAGACATGAGCATGGAGCATCTCCAATTTCTGTGATTTGTTAAATAACACTTCTTATGCAGGCTCCTCTGTTCGTCTCTGTTTACCGGTATACCTCTATTTCTATTGTAAAATAATTATTGTTTTATCTGAAGATTCAGATTACAAGCATAAATTGAGTGTCACTTGACATACCTCAAACCTTCTAAAAACTCATTCATGAAAAAATGCTAAATAATTTTGACCTTCCATATAATAGTTTCTCACAAAATAATGATCCCCGAGTAGACTTCATAAAAACTGCTTCAGCCGACCTACGAACTTGTTAGCAGACTTTGGATGTTTCAACTACATTTCAAGTAGTTATGATCTGCTTTCGGGGTCTAAGGATTCAAGGAAACCTAGATGCAAGTTCCTGAGTAACATGACCTACTATTGCGATAAACACCAAGCAGTTTTTCCTTACAGAGGTTCAACGTAGGAGCCAGGAAAATGCCCAACTTTTCCTTGGAATCTCCCCTGGCACCATCCCTGGTCATCTTGAGAAGAGAGTTGAGTGAGCACATCTCCTTCTTTGAAGTTCAGCTCATCATCTTCAATACCTTGAAAGTCGTACAAAGCCCTGACTGGAATACCAGCATCTTCTACAGGTGGCGGCTCCCACTCATCCGTACCAGCTTGGTCACTGAAGTCATCATTTGATGTTGATGTGTAATTGTTGAATGGATTATGCTCAACACTACGAAAAAGAAATCAAAATGGTATTGACAAATACCTAGAGTGATACACTATTCTGACGCAAGATCTCGATGTTACTCAGAATTTGCATTCTAATTTTATGTGCATTATATAACCTTTATTTTAAGAGGGTGACAGCAATTACTACGAAAAGTATTCTCCCTAGTGGCCCTCTAAAAACAAAATTGATAATAATAAATTACAACAATCATGATAAAAAGCCTATTTACAAATAGTAATCATAACAATAAAAGATCTTACTATCCTTTCACTTACTGTTTACAAAAAACAAACTGGATTTTTAAATGAAAAGGATGTTATTCCGTCAGTGAGACAGGACGCCCGCAAGAAAAAATCCAAATACTCCCAAAAGGAGTCGAACAGACCTCGGATTTCTTCTTCCAAGCTGCCTGTGCCACTGACGGAATAAAAACTTTCTCATCAGTGTATTCTCCACGCTTAAAATTCACCGTCACATTTCTATCATGGATTTTTGTAGTTCTAACTTCCTTAATGCTGCCAATTGAACAGATTTCCCATCTACCAGGGAAATATATCTTTTTTACTGAGGTAAGTATGGTGGAGCAAAGTTGGATACCATACAAACTTGTTCTTTGTGGCTGCAATGGTTAAATAGAGTTTTTTGACATCGAAGATCATATGGAATTCCTAGACATTTTCTCTGGATTGTGCTACCAACATGCCATATCAAGTATTGCAATGTAATAACAACTGAGACCTGTTAGATGCAGCCGCTGCTGGTACCCCACAATGGGGAGGTGAAAATAAGGTTCAATAATATTATTTTTATGCCACCAAATGTTCTATTAGGCCAATAAACCCAAACCCACATAATGTCCAAAGGCCCAACAAAAGTTCTGAGCATTACCTCCTATGAATCAATTGCTGGTTAAAAAAAGCAGGAAGTCTCTGTTAAGTTGTGGTTCAATTTTGTCCTTGGCTTAAATTTATTTCCCTTTGTTTAAAACTCATTATCATATATTATGAAAAAAAATTTAAACTAAGGATAAAATTGAACCACAACATCTCCAAGTAACTTGTATGGAGTTTATGTTTGTAATAAATTAAAAATCATGCAGTTTGTTGTTTGACCAGAAAATGGCAACCCTAACTTACGCATTACATCAAGTTCCCTAAGAAGATGGTGTGCATTTAAGTCTTTACACTGAAAAAGGATTTAAATGGCCAATACATTTCAATAAGTACAACCAAACATACGTTTCATTTTTGTGAGAGTAATCGGTATTGTCTTCAATGTGATTCTGTGTGCCAGGATATGCTGCTGCATGCCCATGACTTCGTGTTGAGGACCGTTTAAGTGGTACTTCATTGTACTCCTATAAGAACATCACAACAACAAAAATGGAAATGAAGGGCTCAACTCACAACAACAAAAAAAACTTTTTACAGCTAGTGGAACATCACTGACCGTAAAAACTGCTTAATTAATATACCCATCAGAGGAGCTAGGGTGGTGCAGTGGTAGGAGCGCTCGCCTTCCACCAATGAGGTCCAGGTTCAAACCTGGCATTGACGCCATAATTACGTGGGTTGAGTTTGTTGTTGGTTATCTTGTTTGCTCAGAGTGGTTTTTCCCCAGGTATGCCAGTTTTTGCCAAATTCCAATCGATAAGGAATGGTAGGTGATGAAGCACTTTGTGGATGTGCTACCTCTAAATCATTGTTCACATATTCACCATAATTTATCAGCATATCACCGAAGAATACATCCTCGACTCCCTCTGATTTTGAGCATACAAGATTTTTGGGCCAAACTAAAAGTTCTTATCACACGAGCCTGTCATTAAAAGGTACAAAGTTTGTGGTTTCATAGTTCCAAAAATGAAAAATAGGGTGGTTTTACTCAATAACCATTTGACCCTCACCTGATAACTGTCTGCCTGCAAATGCTTTTTACTGACTGATGAAACCAAGTCTGACTGTGTAACACTGGCCTGTAAAGATGCTTTGCAGTCTAACTGCTGGAATTCTGTTAGCTGAAGATCACTAACTACCTCAGGTGTGACTGTCATATCCATTATCTCACAATAAATGAACTCTGTATTGACCTCTCCGTTTCTAGTCATACCTACAATATCTCTGTCTTGTGTCTCCTCCAAATTATGTATGACACCTGTACGGAATTGATTTGATGCACAGGTAGTGCCACTGGATATGAAATTTGAAACCTGTTTTGGACTTGCATGCTCTGCAGCCTTGATTTCCTTTGACCTAGTTCCACTATCTGTCTGATCACTACTTGTAATATCTACAATTGTACAATAAACTGCTTCTGTACCACTGCCACATGTCTCCCGCACAGTACGAACACTGGATGAAAGTGATCTATCTTGGGGCTCTCCTACATCATTCACAACCCTTTCATTTACATGTAACTCACCATTTCTACTGTTTGACTCAATGCTACTAAATGACCCTCTCTGAATGCTGTGTTCTGAGTTTAAATTGATAAGATCAAATGAGTCTTTCTCTCTATCTTGGTTATGCGCCTCAAAATGAACAACTTCAGGTTTGTGGAGTGACCCCTCAATGCTAAGCACCTCAGTTGATACATTGCTTTTTATTTCCTTTTTTCTTTGAGATGTGAGATGTTTTTTATATGTTTTTCTGTTTTGCAGCTCTTTAATGGCAAACTTTCCTTCCTACACAGGGCATAAAACAAGGATCACTCTAACAAGAATGATATACAACTATCCCCCGAAGGGGAGGTGAATAGTGGTGGATATACCGAGACGCTGTTCACAAACCAGGAGGGGGATAGTTGTTTTAGTATTTACCAAATCAGTTGGATAAAAATAAAGACAATAACTTTTTGTAACTTAAAAATGTCACCTAGTAGGAACTTTGTTTACAATTTACAAACATTTTGGGGATTTTGTCAAGTGATTTTTACCACTTTTGTTGCAAATTCTACCTGCCAGTAAACACGGACGAGACAAAGTGGTATTTGTTTGTATGACTGCTTTATTTATTGCTCAAGTTTCGTCTTTCGCAAATGTCTCGAAAGGGAGACACCATCTTGGCTCCAGTCCCAAAATAGTGAATAGCCAAGGATATTTCGAGTAATGGGAGCCAATCAAAATGCGCAAAAATTGCTATTCACTGATTTCGTAAATACTAATAAGGGTTATTTTTGCCTTGGCTAGAGTGAAAGCAAAAATTAACACTGTGTTCAGTGACCACTGCTTATCTTGGGCTCTGTGGATAAGAATAGCTAACTACATATATAGTGACTACGAACTGTCCGTCTAATATGTAATAAAATAACATCAAAACTCTAATATTAAAAAATGCTATGGGGCTATGCTATGCTTCCCTCCCTCCCATACCGAGTGGTGGGAATATAACCACAGTGGATGTCACTGAATGAAGAATTTGCCACTACATGGGATGGGTGGGAAGTTGAAAAAACTGCAGTTCCACTTTCATGTAATCGATAATGGTAAGATGACTGAGTGGAGTCCAGTTCAGTCTGTAATAACATAGGGAGAGTCTGATTTGTTCATTTTATGAGTATGATTACAGACCAAATTAGACCAAATTAAGTTTTGTGTGCTTACGATTGTGTGCACTGTCTAATCAGTCATGCACAAAAAAAAGATGTCCTATTAATGCCAAAATCAGGACAGCCGGTGCCCAATCACATTTGAGGATTAAATTATAGTTTTGATTTTTATGGAAATCACGACCAAGATCAATACAGGAGGAATATATTTTGTAACATCTAATAACATCACTAGGGAAGAAAAAAGGCCTGGAAAAGATACATGTATAACATGGGTTTTTGTACTTTCTTGCTCATGAATGAGGTAAATAACATTCAGGGCTGTCACTAAGAGCCGGGGGCTGGGGATTTCCCTGGCTACTATGAGCATGAACCCCGGCTACTCTCATAGGAAACAAAAGGAAAATGGAACCAGAAGAACTTCCTTCCTGTACACTTCCTCTCCTACCAATCACATATACCCGGCAACTTGAAACATTAGCGACAGCCCTGAACATTATACACTGTTTTGCATAAGGACTCGATATTCATTTTGTTACTATCTTGATGTTTTTTGCCATGTTTGTAGGGGAATTGATCACCATTTTTTATAACCATTCAAAGAGGACAAACGGTAAACTGTTATTGCTTGAAAAATCTAACAGTCATAACTGTTCATCAGTAGGATGCCTAAAATGTGTGCAATTCAACAATATTAGTTTCAGCTCCATTAAATCCTACACCAATTGTAGAACATTTTAGGAGGAGCCACCCACAACGTGTTTTATTACTGCTCATGAGTAAGGGCTAAGGGAATTAGAAAATTTATAATTAATCAAACTTCAGAAGAAAAAATTTTCCCAAAGAAATACACACCAAAACACCACTTTGTATTGTCCAACTATAAAATAGGCAAAACAGTGCAAAAGAGTACGTTCAATACCTCAAAGACTGGCCAGTTTTGTGGCATGCCTGTTCCATGATTGCGTGACCACCAGTCCAAATCAGCCTGCATATCTGCTTTTTGAAAAGTCAAGCTCATGTTGACAAAAACACCCGAAAACCTGAGGCACAAAAAAAAGACGAAAAAAGTAAGAATTAGCAGACTACTTTTTATTATCACATAAAAGAATATGTCGGGTAAGAAACCCAAGAAGCATGACATTCTTCCTTTGTTAGTAATAAAAAAAATATTATTGTTGAGATTCAAATTATCTTTTTTTGAAAAAAAGTAGCAACTGAACATTTATAGAAGTTTTTCTCTAAAATTTAGATTCACTCTAGATTTTCTCCAAAATTTCACAGAAGGTTACGTCAGAGACCCACTGCATGACTTAAAAAACATAAAAGGCAGTGTGCATAGAAAGTTGTGGCTGATAGCCCAGGGCTAGTGGATTTGCAACTGGGCTAGTAACATCTATCCTTAACTTGGCTGACAGGCAATTGAAGTTTTTTTGGGGGGGGGGAATTCACATGACAGAAGTACTGTAAGAGAATCAAAATTATTATCTTACTACTGTTTAAATTCCTAATTAATTATGAGGATTGAAAGCTGACAAAGTGAAATCATTAAAATTATCCTGATACATATTACTGACCGAAACGTGACCGGAAATGTCGTGACACTCATTTAAACCGGATGTGACTCTTTTAGTATCATATTAGTGTTATCCTTTTTTTTGATTGACATTTGAAATCGTAGTAGCTGAAAAAGAGAGTAATGCAAAATCACCTTTTGTTGAGATTGGTCGGAGAGGAAATGTACGAGCAGATGGTGATTTAAGTAAAAGAAGGATTTATAATTTAAACGAGCTATTTTGTGCCCCACAAGTTCGGTACATTACAATGAATTTATAATAAAGTAATTAATAAATAATAAATAATAAATAATAAATGCACCCTACAACTACAACATTTTACAAAAACAAACACATTCACTGAGAGTCTGACTGTTGAAAGTGTGAGAGTTGGTTTACTTTATAGAACTTTGCACTTGTAAGCTGGTTGTCATGTCTTATGTGAGAATTGGGCATCTAATCACAAAATCATGCATCACATTTTGTGCATCTAACCTTCAAATATGCGTTTCAGTTGTATCTTGGTACGTGTGCTCATACAATTTTATTTTGAGCGCGCGCATTATTTCTTTATTTATGTAATTGACATGTACATTTAGTTCGTTAATTAACGTCTTAATTTTACTTTGCATTATTTTCCTGACTTATATGTGTTGTCTGTGACTGTGCTCAGATGGTGGGTGGCTCTTCCTAAAATGTTCTGCCGTTGGTATAATATTTAATGGAGCCAAAACCAATTGTGGAATTGCACGCATTTTAGGCATCCTACCGATGAACAGTTGCGACACGTAGATATATATTTTTTAGCAACTACTATATATAATTTGCAGTCTGTCCACTCTGAAATATGATAAATGCAAAGACCAACAAAGTTTACATAGAAAATGATTCTGTGCTCTAGAAATACAAAAAGAAACACAGTCAAACCCCATAAGTATGGACACCAGGAGGGGGAGGGGGGCTTATAAATGGGCTGCGTATTTTTAATAGGGTTGAGTTTAGAGAAAATGTAAAGGCTCCAAGGATAGCTTGGAATGACCATTAAAACCACAAATTTTGCTTAAGACCACAAACTAGTCAATTTTGTTTCACAATAGCGCCATTTATATGAGGAAAAATAAGATGCGTCTTACATAAGACACGTCCTAAATAAGACACAAACTATCCTGTATAAACGGCACATTAAGACGCAACTTAGCTAAGACGCCTCTTATCGAAGAACAGGTGTTAAGGGTTGGTCTTAGATAAGACGCGTCTTAGGTAAATTTCAGAGAAGTGTGCCATTTACACGGGAGAGTTTGTGTCTTATTTAGGACGCGTCTTATTTTTCCTCAAATAAATGATCCTAATATCTTCACATGTGTTACATATTAACATGTTTTAGAACTTCAATAAAATTATTTGCAAACTAGCAGCAAATTGAATATAATAGATAATAACATAAAACAGCTGGTTTCTGTACACATGCTTTTGTAATCACAAATGAAGGCAAAACATGATATGTTTTTTCTAAAACTCACAGTCTTTTTACCACGACATTAAAGTTAATTCAAGACAAATGCATGGAGACAATGAAGCTATAAGTCACTTATTTCTTTCACTTCCTGTGTACAATAATAATTATTGTACACAGGATTAATTATTAACCCAGGAAATACCAAAAGCAATACATATTAGTAGAAATAGTTAAAATTTTAGCAAATTAAAATGTCTACAAGACAACAAACTGTACACTAGTTAATTTGTTCATGTACCAAATGGGCTTTAAAGACTTAAGCTTCTATTAATTTGCAACAGGCTATTTAAGCCTAATTCTAAAACAATTTCATCAATTAATTTCGGTTTCCTAAAGAATTAATAAACAAAAAAGAAAAGTTATACTTACTCTGGGCTTTCCGAGATATCCAAACATTTGTGATACTGAGAAAGAACGTCTTTAAAAAACGTTAGTCTTGTGTCTTCATTCTCTTGACATCTTTCAAACTCTTGAATCATATCTCGCTCATATTGAGAATTATAAGCAGTAATTTCCTCGAGTCGAAGTTCATATTTTTCTCTACATTTCTCCATTTCTCGTTTCGCTTTTTCTGTAGCGTCCTGTAACTTTTTCAGTTTATCTGCAGGCTTGTCTGCGTCATGACCGGCTTCGGTTTCCATCTTCGAAGCCTGCTCAGCGATCCTTGCGGCATTTTGGTAAGCTTTCTTTGCACGTTCAACTTTTGCTAAGCGTTTCGCCCACGGCTTTTGCGCCCTTGTAAAACCATCGTCAGCTTCTTTCGTCTCTTTCCACTGAAATATTCCTTTATGGTAATTTTCATTTTTCCACTTCTTTATGGACTCGTGGACTTCGTCGATTAGCTTATCTCGGCAGTGCATGTGAATTTCAGCCCTTGACTCAGCCTCCGTCACTGCCCCAAGCATGGCAGCCTCCATCGTTCCATACTCTGGACCGCTTTTTACGCATTCCTCCCATTTCTTAGACCAAGCTTTCAACTTAAACGCGTATTTGGCTTCAATGTTAGCTCGTTCAACGACGAGCTTCATAAATTCGTCGCATAATTTCGCACCATCGTCGATCCGTTTGACTGTTCGTTTGAAATTGCCCACGTCCCAAAAGCTATCTGTTGAAGCGCTGTAGAGGTTCTCGTCCGAACCTCTGGGAGTTTCTCGTATGGACATAGCGTAGATTAACTCCAAGAGTTTCTGTTAATAATATTTCAGCTCGAAAATAACACTCTTTTTTGCATTTTCGATGTTTGGTAGTATTTTGAAGGTGTGGGGATCATGATTTTGGCTAGCCGCATGCGCGTGTTTGATGTTTTGTTTGCACGCTGGCTAGGAAACGCGGGCATTTTTTCGTTACATTCGATAATTTTTTGGTCAACTCAGAAGTTTCTGGCAATAAGAAAGTTTTATATTTAACCGGAGCACCAACAATGAGCAGCTAGCAACAACATTCTTTTGAGACAAGGGCAAAGTAAAAATAACACGCGTAATTAAAGAAAAGGGTTATCTGCTGTTTTTTTTTTTTACCAGGAGCCGAGTACAGTCGGCTTCTTTTTTTTTACTTGTTCTGCCTTTTCCGGGGACTTCCTGTAAATAGTCACGAAAGACTAAAGGGCCCTATCCTTGATTGATATTTATTTTTAACAGCTGTTTTTAAATATAAGTTTGTTAAAGGGTCATCTCACCCATCAAAGAGAATATTAAATAAAGATAACGTTTTTATTTTGCTTGGAAACAATGCATGAAGCCCGTGACAAATCCGAAAACAAATAACAAAAGAGAAGGTTTTTCCTTCAAATTCTACCAAAAAAATTAATTTTGACCTCATTTAGCGGAAGAATATTAACCTCAAGTTTGTCAAGTTTTATACACGAATTTTGGTTGTAAAATCTGTAAAATACAGACTGGTGACATGACACGAGCTACACTGCAGTTTAAAAATCTGCCCTTGTGATATTTGATAACTCCCTAAAGGGATAATGCTTGAAGAGATCAAAGTGACCACAAATACTTTTAAAAATTCTTACAGTTTTCTTTGTGTCCTTCTTGATGACCCGGGCAAAAAACATTCAGGCTTACTACAGTGTATGAAAATATGTTATTTGAGATATCTACCGCTTGTTCGGTGCAGGATCACTGAAAATTGCATTATGATTTATCAAAATTCACCCAGAAGTGATTGCACATCCGGCTTGGGTCAGCCAACGTAAAGTGATAACAAATGTACTTCGTTACGTGGGCATGTCAAGCGAAGTGTGAAACATATCACGCTTTAACGTCACATAACTCGGCCCGTTTGATCCGCCTGCTGATGGAGAATTCGCCGAAACGCTACAGTCTCTATAAAAAAAGTCGAAGAAAGCCATTAAAAGAAAAATCCGGCTGCAGCTGATGATGAATATTTTCCATAGCAAACCTTCCTGTTTCTAGATATGACATGTGACAAGTTTTTGTAGACCACTGCCATTCACACAATTAACAAGCGCGTCACACCCCGGTTTCAAAGCGAGGCTAGTCTCTTCCCGAGGTTTCAAAAATTTGATTGACTGCTATCCCAATATGGCCACCTAGACGCTAAAATCGTCCATTTTCAAGACCTTTGTACTTCGAATTCGCACCCAATAAGCAAAAAGTAGTCGTTCAAGGATTTGTCTTTTGATTTGTTCGAATAAGAAACGGATAAGTTTGGTCGAAAGGGCTTTAGATTATCGCGTGACGTTGTCCTGCTTTCTGCGTGTTTATACTTTGGATGGTTTGATATGCGATATCTTGTGCAAAAATGAATAGCGAAGCTAATGACAGTACGGATGCAACAGTGGGTATTGAGAACTCTGAGACCGTAGAATCCATCGCAGAAACTTCAGGGGAGAGCCGTACGGATAGAATTCGTAGGCTGAATAGAGAAAGACAGAGACGAAGGCGCGAAAAACTGAGGATGTCACGCCAGAGTGAAGCGCCATCGACAACCAGTAACGACGTGGACCCGAGCAACGATGTTGACTTGCTGTCTGAGGGTTGTGCGATCGTAGAGGTGACGCTACCGTTAAAAGTCGAGACAGAAGTTCCAGAAGAAACGGAGGAGAAGCCGACTCCAAAGACTACGAGGCCGAAAAGATCAACAAGAACACGGCAAAAAATATCAAGGCGAGAAGCGACCGCGGAGCAAACTACTTCGGACACAGTGTCTTCGGCAAACAACGCCATTTCACCACCATGTCACGAAAATAACTCGAAATATGATGGCGCTTCAGAAGAAAGCACAGTTCTTGTCGTCGCTAGCGAAGTAGAAGTGGTTGATGAAAAGCCTCAAGAAAACGGAACGGAGGAACCTGCTGAAACTCCAGAAAGTAAAGCAGACGGCAAAAGGAGACGTCTACGTGAGTCAACGAAGAGACAAACAGACAAATCGCCTGAAGACGTCGCGACAAAGCGAGTTGTTAGAGAGCGTGAAAAAAGGAAAATGCATGATTTGCCCGATGAGGTCACGGCCAGACGTGAGAAACAACGCGAGTTAAAAAGGAAACAGAAAGAGCGAATGAGCAATGAGCAGATTGAGGCGCTGAGAGCGAGATATCGTGAATGGCGGCGAAAACGAAAGGAAACCATGACGAGCGAACAACTGGAGGTAATTCGGAAAGGAAATCGGGAAAGGCAACGAAGACGGCGTGAGCGATTAGGTATCAGAAAGCGGTCAACAACACCGCAGACGAAAGGGGCTAGCGAAGCAGTGATACAAGGCATTAAGAACAAGCAAGCACAGATTATTAAACCGCTGGAATCGAATCTAACTCCCGAAGCAAGCCTTGTAGCCGCCGTAAACCAGGTCGCTTCGCTGAACAGCGTCGAAGCAGCATCGGCAGCCGCCTCTTTGATGCCTAATCCCTCTCGAATTGAGGGCCCTGTCGCTGTCACAGTGGAAGTGAATCCAGGGGCCCCTGGAATGACACCTAATGTTGCCCAAAATACACAGACCGTCGTAGGACAGCCGCCTTCTTCAGCCGGGCAGATTTTAAGTCTTCCTGTCACATCAGCAAATGTAACACAAGGTTCGTTGCCTCCCGGAATGCCCATGCTTGGCCCTCAAGGAACTATTCTACAAGGTCTGCCACCTGGATCGGGAACTCTTTACAGCATGTCAATGCCAGGAATTCAGGGGACATTGTTGTCTGGAGTGCCTGTTACTGCTGGACAAGCTGCAGTGCAAGGAAACAATGTTGCTGGAATGCCTTTCACAGGAATGCAAGGTCTTGTGCCGGGGATGACTGCTCAGGGTGCATTTCTGCCAGCGTCACAGGCTGGAGTCCTTCCGGGAATGCAGACATTTAGCAGTATGGCGCCAACCATGACCAAAGATGGGCAGATCTTACACAGCATCTCCACGCTTCTTCCCATAGCTCCAATGCAGGGCATTCAAGGAACAGGCCAAAGTGTGGCCTTTCTTGCACCCATGCCTATTGCTGGTCCCACTGGTCAGGTGCAAGCCTTTCAGGACGTGAGAGGAGCAGTAGCTACACCAATCAAGGCCCAAAGTCCTGGAACAGGAACAATGGTCGCTTCTGTACCAATAGCAGAGAGTGTCACAGCGGAAACAGTTGCTGTTGTAGCTCCAGGAGATGGAAGTGATACAAGTGGGCAAGATTCCAAAGTAAAAACTGCAGAACAACCCAAACCCAGAGGAAGGAGAGGTCGTAAAAGAACCACTTCTGCTGCTGAGATGCTAGCTAACCTGAGCAACCTACCTCCAATGAGCACTCCTATGTCCTCAATGCTATCTGCCCTGGCTTCGCAGGTCAGAGAGAATTCACATTCTTCTGTAGTGACGGTAGAAAAAGACAGTGAGCCACCAGCCAAGAGAGCTGCAGGTGATGCTTCCCAGGTCCCAGCAGTGAAAAGAGCGCCCCCTCAAAATTTGAGCCAGTTGGCAGTCATGGCTGGAAATGTACCCTCTACCGGGCCCAACACAGTTACCTATACAGAGAGTACTTTTCCTGTTTCAAATTCTGGTGCTAAAATTCCTCACATGAGTACATTTCTCAATCCCATGGGTGGCGGTCAGATTCCAAGTATGGGTGTACCATTTGCCAGGCCTGTGAATACCTTTCCTCCTGGGGTACAGGCCATGCCCGGTCAGTTCTTTGCCCCAAAAGTGTCAGTTGGTGTTGCAACAGAGGAGATCAGTAAAACAACAGTAGGCACTAACACTGAAAGCAGCAACCATGTGGAAAACAATGGGATTTACCAATCAGCCGCAATGTCATCCATAGGTACTATGACTGACTCATTGTACAAAGTTTCTGTCGGGACTTTGACAGGACAGAACAATGACCAACCACTCGATGGCAACACAAATTGTAACACTGAGACTGTCCTAGGAGACAGTTTAACTGTAGTTCAAGTTGATGTCATTGCACCCAAGGAAACTACAACTGTGGTCCACCCACAAGAAATCAGTCCAGAGGAAATATTGCAAGAGGCCTTAAACCCGGAGCAGATTGAACCAGTTGTTCAACCACTCAATGGCAACACAAATTGTAACACTGAGACTGTCCTAGAAGACAGTTTAACTGTAGTTCAAGTTGATGTCAGTGCACCCAAGGAAACTACAACTGTGGTCCACCCACAAAACATCAGTCCAGAGGAAATATTGCAAGAGGCGTTAAACCCAGAGCAGATTGAACCAGTGGTTGTTATACCAGAGGATGTAGTTGAAGAAGTGGTAGAGGTAGCTGAAGTAGCAAAGATCACGCCCATTGGAGATGCTATGTAACATGGGGATGCATTCAGGACAAACTTGATGGTAAATAATATTACTGTGATTATTCTGAACTTAGTAGAGGTTATTTAGGTCAAGTTAAAAGCCTAGAACTTGACAATGATTCCTCCTTTGTATCAAGAGAACCATAAGGCCCAGGTAAAAGATTAAACTTCACATGCAATGAACTTAACTCTAACAAGCAAAATTTATTGTTCTCTCTCATTAGTATTAGGTTCATCAAATGTTACAGTACTACTCAAAAGTATGTTGACAGTCACTTGCGCCTCGATTCTTGAATCTTCAAACTTTCAAGAATTGAGTCTCGAATGTTGAGATTCAATTCTTGAGTTTCAAGAGTCGAGTCGAGAAATATAATGACTTTGTCACTTGATTGATTTCTCGAGGATCAAATTCACCAAACAGACCGCACTCTGGTTTAAAGGATTGTAAAGTACACGCTGCGGAATGTGACAAACCACTTTTGCAAGCCTCTCTTTCTTTCCTGTCCCTAGGAAAATTTTGTGCAATTTAAGGGACCAGTTAAAGAATTTTAGTCATGGAGGTGGCACTTTTATGAACTTAAATTTTCGTTATTAGAAAATTATATTGTGTGAGTAGGCGGTGCTTCTCTGGCAACTATATGGTGATTTTTGGAGAACGCAGACAGTACTGTTTATTGTGGTGTACAAGATTTGTTATGATAATTGAGTCCACAGGTGAAATCCAACTGTGCATCTTTTGCAGGTCAAAATTATTATTATCAGGTTAAAATTTTTTAACTTAGGTTGATTCTCAATTTCCTTTGTCTCCTAGCCCTAATTATTCATGAAGTAGACCAGGAGACAAAGAAAATTGATAATCAACCGAGGTCAAAAAGTCTCAACCTGAATTTAATTTTGACCTCTAACATATCCACTGAACATAGCCATGACGTGTGGAAACTAGGGATAAGTGTGGTAAACTTTCATTGTATGGAAATGAGACTCATGACAAGCATGCTGTTTATTTTTGGCAATGATGTAATTTTCGTATGTTTATACAGGCAGACTTAGTCAATTCAGAAACAAATCCCTGAGAACAATTTAAGAAGTAAATATCCTGAAGATTACTTGACCGTTGATAAAAAAGGACTTTGAAAAACTTATTCTTGGTTTTCACATGATGTCATCAAAATTCAAACTAAGAAACTATCGCTTCTTCTGAGTTTCTACTTTCATGTGATACGAGACCACCTTAGAACCTTTATACAAACAAATTTTTGGTTCAAAAGGGTTCTTTGTTTTGCGATACAGGACGCATGAATTTCTAGGCTTTTGCGTGATGCGGCATTTGGCTGGTGGCCAGGAAAGCTATTATGTGGGTTAAAAACATTACAGATTATTGGAGATTTTGCTATCTAAACATTCCTTGTCTTAGAATAAATATTGCTTTAATCTTAATGAGTTCCTCAAGGGAAGAATTCACGTATAAGTAGGAAAACTCAAAAACAGATGTTTCTGTTGGTTTCCTGTGGCCATATTTGTGCCGCTGAAAGGGACACAAACATGGCGTCTCCATACAAAGCTTTATAAATTTGGGTAAAACATTTTTCCGAATATCTCGCATATGAACTATTGCATAGACCTGATTCTTGGCAAGGCTTTTTTTTATCTTCTTTCATTTCCCAGATTTTAGACTTTGTGTATTAAAAGGTTTGCATTTTTATTTCTCCTTTCTCACGTGAGTGAAAACCGAGAATAGCAAGGAAATCCTGTTTCGTGTAGGAAACCACTTTGTTACATTGGTGAAGAGTTGGAAAGCAAGTTCATTTAAATTTCCATGAATTGAGGTGTTATGTTTCTCAGAATATTTGAAGCAATTCCTGGCAAATTCAATTTGTTATACATATTTAATTAATAGATTTTTGTGGTTGTTAAGATGTGAAGTGGTGCGGCTTAGCCACATTATAATATTAATGGTTAGCGAATGGGCACAAGTTCAGGTGCCCAACTGTAATGTTATAATCTTTTTCCAGTTTTAAAATGGAAGGTATGCGAAGTTTCTGACTGTTGTATTTACCAAAAGCAGTCAATGGTTACTGTGTAATGTGGCTAGCTAGAAGTTTTTTTTTTCTTTTTCCCCACATGGTCCCTATGGCTTCCACTCCTGCACAGGCTTCTGAAGAATAAATTGCTTCCCATTTTTTATCTTATCTCCAAGCAAGGTCAAGTCAATGCTTTTAGAGCATCTTGTGGAAATTGCTTATTGTTTTCTGTGATATTGTTGATGAATTCTGCTGAACAGTACTTTTATGGGTTAGTTGTCTTACATGTATCATTAAATGTGAAATGTGATTGGCTTAGAAAGGGTGGTTATTTTTTGCAGCATTTGTTCACCACTTGTAAGATGCAAAATGAACGACTTAATTACGGTTTTCAAGGAATAGAACGAGGGAATGTTTGTTTCTTACGTTTTCTGTTTCTTTGTGCATTGGTTTTCAGATTTTCTGTTTCATGAGGACAAAGACAAGCAAAAGACATTGAGAAGTATCCACATGAGGTCCCTATTTTAAAACTCTGTGAACTTAAAAATTTATTTAATTAGCATAAAAAGAGGAGTACAGTTAACTCTCCTAGGATGGGCAATTTTGCTACTGCATTAAAAAAAAATGTTCCAGTTCAAGGGGGTGTCTCTCTGTCAGCTGTCCACCTCAAAGAGAGTGAAAAAAAGGACATTAATTAAAATAAAATAAAATGACTGAAAAAAAAGGAGAGGCCAACTTGAAGTGTCCATTTTGGGAGTTTTCTTCCCTACAAAGTTGTCCATCTTTTACTTTAAGAGGTGTCAGTCCACTTTAAAGAAGAGGCCAACTTGAGGTGTCTGTCTGGCAGAGATGCCTTTTATAGAGGGAGTTGACTGTAATATGTGGCTGGAACCACCACTAAGTGGACCGTGCTTTTTTTAAAGGAATGTCGCCCACTGTGGTGTCTTTGAAAGTTACAAAAAAGCCTTTGACAAGGTACCTTGATTTTAAAATCTTCTCTGTGTAAAGGTGATGTTACACAAGACTATTCGCAACAACGATTTTTAGTGCAACATTGTTCCAACATTGCATCGCTGTGGTGCACTAAAAATTGTCATTGTAAATCCTTCTGTGTAACATCAGCTGAAGAAACAAAGGGTCCTCATTACAATTCATTCCCTATCAAGTTATACAGTAGCACATCATATTCTTTATACTATACATATATATTATATATATATAGCACACAAATTATTAGAGTTAATTATTAGACTTCGTCTGAATCTATGCTGCCTTGTGACTCCAGTTTATCCATTAAATAATTTTATTTAGAGACAGAAGTTTATTGGCATTGGTTCTCAGAAAGGTTGATAAGAGTAGTTTTGTAGTGAAATGACGGCATGTCACAATGACTTGGTTTATTGGTTTAAGGGAATTTTTGTATATTTTATCTGTTTATGGTAAGCTGGTATGCAGTAATTTTTTAATATACAGTACATGTGAGAAAATTTAGACTGGTGTGAAAATCTTAATGTTGAATTATCGCTTAAAGATGAGTTATGTTTTGAAAATATCTTACTTAGACGTAAAGTTTGATTTTTCATAGTAGGTGTTATAATACCTTTTTAAGTGCATGGTGGACTATAACTACTCCTTCATTTCCCATAGAGATAGTTGTATACCCTTTATCTTAGAGACTGCTTCTTTTATGATTTAAGTGAGTCAATGGGTCATGGGTCACTGAAAGTAGTGTTTAGGGTTAAGCAATGATGATAGTGATTGGGCGGGGTTAAGCAGTGGCAATAGCAATTGGGGGTTATCGGTAGGTACTGAAATAGTGATTAGGGTTGAGCACTGACCTGAAGTGGTTATATCTACTTTGGCAAATACGAGAAATTCAAACTTTTGACTCATGATTCATTGACTCATTTGCTCTTAATTCTCTTCATCTTACATCAAAAGGTGATTTTTTAGCTTGTTGAGGTGTTCACTTGTTGTACCATAAAAAGAAGTGAAGAATTACTCATAGTCTAATGTGTAAAAGAAAAAAACGAAGGCTTCTAGGTTTTATTTTCATACAGGCAAAGCCACATATAGATTGATATTATTGTTATTCCGCAAGGAAAACCAGGTAATTTGCATGGTTATATTGTAATACAGCAGTATTAGGTATTTAGAACTTACAGAAGACAATTGCACTGAATCTGATTTAAGCATGACAGGAAAAAACGAACTGAAACCAGTTTTGGAATGTTTGCTATGCTGTGGCCAGTCACACAAGAGAATGTTTCAGTTCTGTCTAGTGTTTTGCATTTTAATAAGTAAAAACATGCATTTCTTTGGTCATGGCCAGCATTTCAGATAATTTTTGGTGCTTCCATTTTCCTGTTCACCTTTTAATGTATAGTTTTAGTTGCTCTAAGCTATTCAACAGCATTCATTTAGTTTTAGACATAATTGGTGGACATTTTGACCAGATTGCTTGTCTTGACACTTAAAGATGTCTTTGAACGAAAAAGAAGTGCTTTAACCTTAACCAGAATCAAAACATAGTGAAACCAATGTAATTTATTGAAGCATGATGAGACGTAACACAAGTAGGCCAGACATGTAACATAAATATTTTCTAACATGTAGCGCAAGGGTGCATTCAATGAACATTTTTCTATGGAAAAGCAGTATACAGTGTATTACTTTCTGATGACCCAGAGCAGATCTTATGTCCCAAGACAGTAGCATAATAATAATTTCTTCTGTGGTGTTGTAATCCATTTCAAAGTTAACATTAATTTTACATTTTAAAAAAGTGATATAGGGAAAACAATCTCACCTTAACCCTTTTAAACCCTAACATCCAAATTCAAATTCTCATTTGTTATCCCTATACGTTTTCAATAGAAGTAGTGGGGAGAATTTTGTTGAAGTATCAATTAGATTCATCTTGTGTGATAATGTCCTTAATTCTCATGACCACTTTGTTTTATAAAACAGTGATAAATTACAAGGAGAAATTTGATGCTGATCACTCTTAGTGCTTAAAGGGTTAATGTAACAGTATTGGTAATTGTTTTGATGTATCAGTTTTTCGTGATGTCATTTTTTTTTTTACCTCTAAGGATGGTGAATGGTGAACTTGCATGGAAACATTTTTATCTAAACTTGCAATTTCAGAATATTTCTTATGGGTCACTGACAGTAAAACCTGCATTAAGTTGAGACCAATGTCAGGAATTTACTAGAAAATACATGTAGGTATGTGTAAGGGCCAGGAAGGGCAGAAATTACAGGCAGTTTGTTAGAAGTTTAAAATGGTGAGCAGAAAAGTTGGATCTGTGCCCCTTGGGTCTGCGTAAATTATACAGCTGAACACTTTTTCAGTATTAAGCTTTTTTCTTTTCTTTTTTGTTTTGATTTTCAAATACTTTGCTGCAAGGTCTCAGATTTTGATAGAAAGTCTTGGTGTCTCAGCAAGTCTTATGGTTTTCCATTCACCTACCTTAGCTCTGTAAGCTGTCTCTATTACAGGGTTTGTACAGAGTCTTGAATTCTTGAAAAAGTCTTGAAATTTGCTCCGCGGTTTTCCAGAACTGTAAAAGTCTGAAAAATGGAGATAAAGTCTGGGAAAACGCTAAAAAATCTTGAGGTTTTTTCAAAGCTACAACAAGTGCTTTTAGAAGTGAATTTCTTTTTCAATTTGGTCAAATCTTATATTCAGTCTCGCCCGTACGTTTGCAGCACACCGTAAAAAAAGCTTTGTTTCTGTGTTTTTTAAGGTCTCGATTGATCACCTATTTGATAACCTTAAGTCTGGAAAAAAGAAATTCTTGTTTTGGAAAAAAGTCTGGAAAAAGCCTTGAATTTTGGATGCAAAAATCTGAACGAACCCTGTCACTAACAGAACTGGACTAAGACTGTCATTGAATGCACCTAAAGAGTATAGACTTGTATTTGTCATTTGATGGACTGTTGGCCCCTTGTGTTGACAACTGGTTTGTTTATATGGTACAACTATATGTGATTATTTTAAAACACAGTTAATGATTTAAGTAAACAAAACTTTAAAAACAGCTTCTTGTCTTCTTTGTGAAGGGGGTATATTTTGCAAGTTGTGTTGGGTTATTTGTCCATCGCCATTATGTGAAAGGAACTCATGATGTCCTGTCTGCCATTTTGAAATGGCGGCCATGTTGGTGTCCCAAACAAATGTGTAAAGACTGTATGTGTTACAAATAACAATGCTGTCAACCTGTCTTATGAGTAGAAGGCCCAATTGTAGGTATATCTATGGTGAGCCACCCTCCCCCCCCACAACCTCTTCCCCACGAAGAAAAAAAAAACTCAGAAAATGTTCAAAGAGCACACCCGCTACCAGCTTTAGAAAACAGATGACATTTCATGATGCCAGCGGTGGTTTCCCCGCAAAATAAAGTCCCCACAGAAATTCCATACTGAAGACGCATCACTACCCAGATCTGGGTAGTGCTTCTGATTGATTGAAGCAGATTTCCCATGCGGCATGACCAATCTGAAGCACTACCCAGATCTGGGTAGTGACGTGCCATCAGTAGTAAATTTCTGCACTCATTTCCCAGACGTTATTTCGCGGGGAAACCACCAGTTGTGTTGCGAAATGTAATTTGTTTTCTGAGGCTAACTTGCTATTTTTTGGCAGGTCATTCTCCTCCCGGGATAATTTTAACCACGGTTTTTTCATAATCCTTATCTGTTAAATGCACAGATTGCTGTCCATGAGATAGATACACGGGCCAAATAGGTGCAATACATATCCCACCATTCACCTCTCCACCCGTGCACTGAAAAAGAGACACCTCTATAAGGACACCTAGGGCTGGTCCCTGCCTTTTTTTAGTCCCTTCATTTGATGGACACCTCAATAAGACAGACACTTAAAGCCAGTCCCAAAGGTGTCCTCTGTCTTAGAGAAATTTGACTGTAATGAAAATCTTTATCTTATACATGAAATGGTTTTACACTGACCTACACTGTGTATAATGCAGACCTCACTGATCTTTGTACACTCACTTACCAACAGGCCTTTCAGGAGTTGTCCCATGCGTCTATTTCATAAGTCAGTCAAATTGCTTGAAGAGGGACACCTTTGGGACTGGCCTGTCTGTCTTAGAGAGATTTCCGTCTTATGGTGAGTCAGTTATAGGAACTAAAGAAGGGTGGGGACGAACTCTAGCTGTCCATTTTACTGAGGTGTCTGTCTTATAGAGGTGTCCGTGCAAAGAGAGTCGACTGTAGATGACAAGCAAAAAATGATTTTTACTTTCATTCAAATAAAACCCATTTTCAGTCATGAAAAGTTTTGCACTTCGACTCGTTTTAAAAGTGAGAGTTTCTGAAACGTGGAAACGGGACAGCAGGGAGGCCGTTATCCGCCCTTCGCTGGGCTTATCCGCCCTGGCCCTGCGGGAAAGCGCCCGCACGCTCCCTCGCCTCGCACCCGAGATAAGTCATGCGCACTTGAGTATAAGAACACTTCCCCTTGACAAAATGGCCGGAAGTTTTGATTCAAGATCGACGTCTAGCGCCTTCCTTTCAGTAGGCACGTAGAACACCTTTGGCCAAGATGCTTGAGAAGCATAGGCATTTGCTCATAAAATTCAGACAGGAGATAGCGGAAGATTTACTGGTTGACGATGTTCTTGTTTTTCTGCGGAGCAAGTTCGTGCTTGATTCGGATGACACCGAGGTCATTCGAGTGGAGAAAACGTCCCATCGACAAGTAGAAAAGCTGCTAGACATCCTCCCACAAAAAGGATTCGAAGCGTTTGATCATTTCTTTTCTGCTCTAAGTGATAAATACCCGCATTTGGCCAAGCTGTTGCAGAATGATTCAAACGAGGAACAGTTCAAATTCATTCTTGAGACTGTCGATTCTCCTTTGCAGTGTAAGTAACGTTAATAATCAACTTATGTGAAAGGTTGTAAAATTATTGTTAAATTTGTTGATAGTTTTATTAGCAATCTAGCTACTGTTCAAGCGGACTTCGCTGGCTACCGTGTATGGGTACTGTAATCATTTCTTCTCCTTGTGATTTATTTTTGGGGAGGATGTCAGACATGAAACCAGATATGCAAGGGAATTTTAGTTTAATCCTGCCACTGTTGTTATGCATTATAATAATTATTTCTCCGCATCATAATATTTTTGTTAAATTGGTTTACCAACTCATTACAAATTAATGTTAATGTTAATGCAGGATGTTTGCCTCACTTGGAGTTTGGGTGAGGGGCAGTAACCAGGGATCCTGGGTGAGTGGTACTACCTGAGCCTTTGGGTGGTGAGTACTTTTGGGATCAACAGTTACCCTTAGTCTATACTGACCATGTCTGTACCCTAGGTACCAAAGAGGGAGAAAAGAGGGTGGGGGGGGGGGGGGGCAGGCAGAGTTAAAGGTCACAGTCGATTATGGAGTCTGATGATGAATGCTGTGGTGCTACCTTTCAATGACTCAGCTTTAGTAAGAGCTTATTTCATATTTTTATGGTTTTCACAAAACTGCATGTAATTCTTGCCTGGTGGAATCACAAATGAGGCTCAATTACGAGCTGATGTTCAGGAAATCGGCCTGCGTGCGCTCCTCCTGCAAACAGATAACTGGCTGCGTGGGTTTGCTGTTATTGATTTCCACCAATCATGGCCTCTTCAAATTGAGCAGGAGGCATAAATTTATTTTCCTGGAGCAGATTTCAAATGGTGGATGCAGATGTGTTGTTTGATGTGATGGCAATCATATTTTAGAGTGTTTTAAGATTAAAAACCTGAAATATCGAGAAGCGTTAGAGAAGCTGGTGAATGATAAGGATGTCTTGTTGATCTGGATTATGAATCATTTTCCAGTCTGCACCAATGGTTGTTGACAGCTAATGTGAAGGAGATAACTTTCTATGTCCATTCCCGTTGTAATTTCAACCCAAAATTTGCAAATACAAGGTGCAAAATACCTAAAAACATTATGTCATCTGCTGATTTTTTTTGGTGAATACCAAAGCAGCAATGTGTTTGGTATCTGATGACATTTCCCATATCCGTAGTTAACAAAACAAGGAATGACCTACAATGAGCTACAATGAGCTAAAATAAGCTACAACTACAATGACCTACAAAGAGCTACAAAAATGACAGACAATACACACACACATTGACCATGATGACACACATTGACACATCAAATGATCTACAATGACCTCATCCGGTCATTGTGGGTCATTCGTTGTTTTAGTAACTACATTCCCATATCTTGCTTTTTCTAAAGATGCATGAATTAAATTTTGAACTTACAATGCAGACACAATTGGTCACTCACACATCTGCCCTTTTCTTCTTGGGAAGGACCTAGAGAGTGGGCAAATCAAACCTAATGACAAATCATAGGTCTCAAAATGGGCAGATCTCACATCAAGCTAGATAATAATAATATTAATTCAAACTTCAAGGCCAGGATATTGTAGCAAAGCTAACTACAAAGTTCCTTTCTTAATTTTGTTTCATCAATATTTTATTCTCCAACAGTAGAAATGATGAGTGAAGAACACAAAGATATCCTAAATACCAGCAGAGTGGAAATTGTGGAAGATTTGCTGGTTGATGATGTTCTTAACTTTCTTCGGAGTAAAATGGTGTTTGATCTGGATGATACTGAACTTATTAGAGCAGAAAAAACTTCAAGAAGGCAAGCAGAGAAACTCTTAGACCTGTTAGAAACCAAGAGCGATGCTGCATTTTATAACTTCCGTGAGTCATTAGAGGAACCCTATCCTCATTTAGTGGAGCTTTTGCAAGACAATTTGAGAAAACCCCGGCTAGTCTCAGATGTCAGAGAATTAACGGAAAGAGGTGATCATATAATAGTTTTGGAAGTTAAAGTTATGTGAAGCAACCTGTTTTTTGTTGATTTGAGATCAACATACTGTCAAACCTCCATTAAACGGCCACCTATTTAAGGAGCCACCCTCTATTAAGCGGCCAGTGACCAAAGTCCTAAACTGATTGTAGAAAAGAATGGGGAAGTAAAGCTTTATTAAGTGGTAACCACTAGTAAGCGGCTGTGGCCACCTTTTTGCCATCCCAACAAGAGTTCTTCCATTGTTTTCACCTCCACTAAGTTGTCGTCGAGTGCTTACACTTAGTTTGGCCTTATTTTAAGAATATAATGAAGGAAAATAAAGACCGAGGTAGAAGTTGACGACCGATTGTGGATCAGTAAAGCTGCTCTCGTCATGTGTTTGTTTCAGAATAAAGTAATATTTCTGCTAAAGATTATGGTAATTTATGACAAACCTCTATTGAACAGCCAACCTCCATCAAGCAGCCACTTGCTGGTACCCGAAGGGTGGCTGCTTAATGGAAATTCAACTGTAGTCAACTCCTGAGCATATGTCTTAAGGGAATACATACCTCTTATTAGCCAAGTTTGAGTTCCGTACTGTAAACTATGGATCCTCGTTTTTTTTTTGCACATGGGCCGTAAATCATTGGAAAAAAAAAGAAGGATATGAATGTAATTTACATTGAGGACTGAGAAAACAAGGTTAATAAGATGTTTATTATATGGCATCCTGTTTCTGCGAAAAAAAATTAGTGCAGGACAAGCGATTTGACAGTCATTTGTCAGGTGTCAGAAAGTGAAAGTTCTCATTGGCTCATGGAAACAATGGTACAAAAGCTTTGAAAGTGAAATCAAAAAGTAAATGTGCCAATTTTATTTTCTGCAATGGTTGTAGTTAATAAAATCCCCCCAAAATTCAGGCATAATGGATATTGACAGGGACTGGAAGGCGTGGGGGTCTAATTAATTGCTGTAAACAATGTAAGATGTAGATTGGCTCTTTTGATTGATATTTTGAATTTACAAGTGTTTTAGGGTCATTGCAAAAAGGAAATACCTTTTCATACCTCAGTATAAGGAAGTGGAGGGGAAAAGGAGGAAGAAAGGAAGAGGCAGAGAGATATACAATAAAAAGAGCCCCCATGTGTACTTTTCTAACATCAGGGTGAAACAGTGGGTCTTCTGTCCACTCGTCTGTTGTGACAGTTTCAATTTATTATTATGATCATTACCTACGTAACTCTATAGTTTGCTTTCATAATGCTTGCCTGTTTGACTTCCCATTTGCCACTAGAATGTACGACTTCCCAAATTCCCAACAGACAGAAAAAAATCCCACATCCCATGCCCACATTTTGGTGAATCCCACTTCTCGGGAAGCAGTCAAATCCCGTTTCCTGTCAAGATATTTTGTGTTTTTCCAAATCCCACTCTGTATTTTGGTCAAATCCCAGATCCCAAAAATACCCTTCCCAAACCCTGTATTGAGGGTGACACTGTCAAAGTCTGCTTATGTCTTTGATGTCCTGCTGAAATACTAATAACTTAAACTTTGTGATTTGGTCTTTGCAGTTGAAAATGTGCTTCTTGAGGGTGGTGTTCCACAGCGACCAACAGTCTTTGCCAACAGAGCAAGAGATCTTCATAAGATCCATACTGCCCTTAGATCGTTAAAGGAGCGAGATGGTTGGGTCATTTTACATGGCATGGCTGGATGTGGCAAGACTGTGATGGGCTCTGAAGCTCTTAGGAGTCCTGCTCTGTTAGAGGAGTGTTTTCCTGGGGGTGTGCATTGGGTGAGAATTGGTCCTGTTGACCAGTCCAAACTTCTAATGCGAATGCAAAATCTCTGTGCCCGTCTTGATTCTGATCACAGCCGACAACCACCAAGAAACACGGAAGAAGCCAAAGACAGGCTCAGAATGTTATTTGCTCATCAGCATCCTCGATCTTTGCTAGTTCTAGATGATCTTTGGCATTCCAGTGACATTAAATATTTTGACATCCGTTGTCGTATCATGGTTACCACGCGGGATGCTGCAATTGCAAATATGGTTGGTGGATCAAAAGCCAAAGTTCACATCAGCGAGGGCTTCACAGAAAATGAATCACTACAGATTTTAGCCCAGTGGACAAAGCAAACTGTGATTCATCTTCCAGGGGAAGCAACTGAAATATTTCATCTTACAAATGGCTCACCATTAGCAATAAGCATGGTCGGTGCACTGCTCCGTGATCACCCAAAGAGATGGAAGTATTATGTTAGCCAGCTTGAGAAAAAGAATGTCAGCAAACTCAAGCCAAAGTTTGAGTATGAATATCCAACTCTGACAGAAGCAATTCGCATGAGTATCAATAATTTACCTGATGACCTAAGAGAACTGTATGAAGATTTTGCAGTGTTTGATGAAGAGTCTAAAGTACCAGCCCAGGTCCTTTGTATTTTATGGGATGAAGAGGTAGGGACACTTCTTCTTCACCTGCTATCTTGAAAAATGCATCTGGTTTCAGTAATGATATTTTTTATGGGGATGGGACATTAACCCATTGCCCATCCCCCATCCCCCATCCCCCATCCCCCATCCCCTATCCCCCATCAACCATCCCCTATCCCCTATCCCCCATCCCCCATCCCCCAACCTCCAACCCTCAACCCCAACCTTAAGGAGGGTCTGTGTCTCGGTAGATTGAATATTTAATTTCATCATTTTGGGTGAGTGTAGTTTTTTTATCAAAAGCGCTGTTTTTTTAGTGATTGAGATTTTTACAAGCTGAGCTGCAATCATTGTCCTGGACAAAGTTATGATGACTTCTGCACAGCTTATCAAAACATCAGTCACTGTCTTTAACTGTTGTATATTGTAGTGCTCTTAACAATAGTCAGACCTGGCTGACCAGACTGGTCATTTTGAAAATGAAATTATGTTAGTCTTGTTGCAAAATTTTCAGGAAGCCCCTCACTGCTGCGCATGTTATTCAGTAATAGACTGATCTTCTTGAATAGTCTTGAACAATAATAGTGGAATTCTTTTTATGACTCGACTGTGTTCCGGCCAGTCAGTAATCATAAATGGTAAGTGCTCCTATTCAGGACACATACCTGGACAATATTATTATTATAATATTATTATTATTATTATAATTTTTATTATAATATTCTACATACTTCTAAAAAATATGGATGGTGTCCTTCTCTATAGTTTGAAGTTGTAGAGGACTGGATGGAGGATCTAGTAAACAAATCACTGGCCAGGAGAACAGTGAAATCTGAGGATGCCTTAGGCACATTTTATAGCATTCACAACCTACAGCTGACGTATCTTCAAGAACAAGCACAAAACTTAGAGGCACTGCACAAGAAACTTGTAAACCACTACAAGAAATTGTATAAGGGTGAGAAATCTGTGAGAATAGCTTTTTTACTCTAGAGATGGAATCTATAATACTTAGTTATACTTACTTACCTAAGTATACCTATGTACCTACCTAGCTTACTTTTAAAATACCTATTTACATACCTACCTACCTACTTATATACAGTACCTACCTACCTACCTACGTACCTACCTACCTACGTACTATCTACCTACTTATTATTCACTTACTTAAATATTTATTTACTTACCTACCTACTTACCTACCTTAACTAGCACCTACTTTTAATACCTACCTACTTACCTACATGTACCTACTTACTTACGTACATCTACTTACCTACCTACCTACTTATTCACTTACTTAAATACTTATCACAGGAAAAAATTGCAGAAAATCATTGATGTAAAATCGAATGGGATTTCATCAATTCCCAAGGAAAAAAAACATAAATGTTAAAGTTGGACACTTACCATTAATGTTTTTCTTTGAAAATTCACATAAATGTTAATTACAAATTCCACTGATGGTTAGTGCCAACTTACCACTGATGGTTTTATGTAATGTATCATTGATGTTAAATTCTTTTCAAACATTGATGGTAATTCAAATTAACAATAATGTTTGTTAGTCTTTTAACATTCAGGTTATTTTAATGTTCTATTATTGGGATATTGCCTCTTCCCATGAAGAAAAACCCATCAATGTTTATTGCCATTTTAATTCCATACATGGTAGGAATCAAATTACTATAAATGGTAATTTATCAACCATTATTGGGAAATAGCTTAACCATAGATGGTAATTCAAATAATAACATCATCTTTTATTGTTTTAACATTCAGGTTATTTTAATAGTGTTATTGAGAAATTGCTACTTCCCATGAAGGAAAACCCATGGTAGGAATCAAATTGCCATAAATGGTAATCTATAAACCATCATTGGGAATTAATAGCTTAACATTAATGCTAATTCAAATAACAATGTTTTTTACTGTTTTATGTTCAGATTATTTTAATGTACTAGCTGTCGTTGGGAAATTGTCATTTCCCATGATGAAGGAAAACCCATCAATGTTTATTTATATTGTTGTTAACATGAATGATTGGAATAAAATTATTATTTTGAAAGGTAATGTAAAAACCGTTATTGAGAATTAGCAATCTCCATTCTCACGTGTGATATTTTAGTTCCCATCAAAAGAAATTTGAAAACATCCAAGTGGATTTGTGGTTAGTTAATTAAGTTCTTAATAATCCACTGCACTGAATTTTTTTTTGATATAGTTATCATGGAAATCGCCAATTCCGCAAAGCTAAGGTTACAATTCTAACAGTTCACCATTAAAACCAACCATAATCATCCAAGGCTATAAACTTTCAACTTTTAATGATACATTAACAAAGGATACATTTTTACAATAATCAGTTCTGCTACTGTGGTACAAGTAACAAAAGTCGTGACAATATCATCTTTATGTTAAGAAAATTAACCAAAAGCCACAAAACATCTTTGGGCATTTGTAGCTTATAATATTTTATAATAATAAAGCTGCGAGACAATAGAAGAAGGTGCAATAAAATGTTGTGTTTCCGAGTTTCTTCCATTGTTTGTGATGAGCACATAACAAAAGGTTGTTAATGTTCAGTTCAATCAACTTAACATTCACAATATATTTTGTGATGTGCACATCACAAACAATGGAAGAAACTCAGAAACACAACATTTTATTGCACCTTAATTGTTTCATTGCCCTGCACACTTATTATAAAATTATTATTACAAGCTACAAATGCCCAGGTTGCACAAAATGGAAAACAACAAACTTTTTTAATTTTGTAATGGGGTAAGATGGAATTAAACCACACTTGAATGCAATTAAAATGGCTTCAGCTTTTGTATGTCACGCCTTGAAGCATTTTTTGGGTTCCCTCTGATTCTGACATAATTCTTTTTTACAAGGGCTTCTGCAACCACTTTTACCAAACCATTCTTCTCTTTTGGTGCATTTTTTATGCCCATTGCCTTGGCTGATGAAGCTAACTGATTTCTTTGTACATCTGCCAGTCGGATTGCATTATATGCAACGCATATAATAAGTTTAGCTGTGTCATCTGGGAAAGCTGGGAAATAAATAGAAAATTCAGTTGCGGCCTCTTCTCAATCCCCTGACAATACTTGCATGCGCAAAAGACAAAAGGTTTCAAACTTCTAAAAATAATATCATATAAACCTTCTTCAGCATCAGGTTCTGATTCCATGACTTCATCTGTATTGCCTGATTCAGAGGCACAGCTCTTTTCAACACTACTGCTGTCTACAATTACAGTTTGTGAATCTTTAACTTGTAAACAATGACCTGTGGAGGCAAACAGAAACTTTGTTAGTACTCTGTTAAGAGGTATTGGAAAGCCCAGGAACTAAACTGCAGACAGCACCTGTTAAAAGAAATGTTTTTAATTTCTGGGAATTGTGACTGACAATAACAAGAATTTTAAAGAATGAAAAACATTGATGAGAATGCCTAAAAGTCAACCATGATCCCCTGGTTTGAAAAAAATGTTAAACCAAAGAAAAATTTGCACCACAACAGATACATTGCAGATTTATCAAATAAAATATGCTCAAACATACCCGTCTTTTCCTCCTCTGATTCTTCCACAATTTCCGTATCCCCAGATTCATCCTCAATGGAATCAGAGAGACTATCACTAGAAGGACTTGCAGAACTGTTGTTTTCAGCAGTACTAGTGCGTTCAGAACTCGGTGTTTTACGCTTCAGCGTTCGCTTATCGGCCTGCAATTTTAAAAAAGTGGTCATTGTAGTGACTGCCTTAATTTGCTAACTTCTACAGCACGGTTGTCACTACTGGATTTCATACTGTCGGGGGCTATATATCACAAGACAGTTAAGAAGTCTACCCAGATGTGCACACAATCAAACTGGGAAAGTAACACTGACTTTCTTTGGACTCTGGTATTTACAAATATTTTCCTATTTCCCTGTATCAAATGTTGACCTCAACGGGTTAAAATTTTAGCCCAAAGAAATGTTAAGATTGTCTTATTTGGCACAAGCCTCTAATGACACCAAACAAATTATTTGTCTACAATTAGCACCCTGTTTTACTCTTAGTGAGCCAGTGCTATTGTGCATTAGGTGTTAGCTAGTACGTGCTTAAAAGAGAAATCAAGTCATTTTAATTATTGTAATATAAGTTATTGTCAAATATTTTTTAGCTTAGTTGTCTCCCCGCTTAGCATCCTGATTCACAGGAAGCTAGATTTTCTTTGACACATCACTATAAAGTTTCTATTCTATTCTCCTTCCTTAACTGTTTGGGGGGTCTTGATGAAATGTGATAGATAAATGGTTGAGCTTACTTTAGAGTAATCATGGCCATTCCTTTGGTGTCTTCGTCTTTCATTCAATACATCCAAAATGTGTTGTTTGATACCATCTCTCCCAAAGTTCAAAGGCGGAAAAGAGCATTCAGCCACAAGCTCTTCCACTAACTGATTTAACTCTGCTACAGCTGTCTTGTTGGTTTTGAATTTGGGGATGTTGTTCCCCGGCCATCGTTTGATTGCTGCCGCTCTGATCGCTTTTCTCCTATTAAGGTAAAGATTCAACAGTTGTTGAAACTTTCAATAAATTGACAAAAATCCAAATTGTTTAAGAAAGAAGTATCGTTTCAGCTATCGTTTCCGAAATGATCGACCCGCAAAACTTGGGGCTTACAAATAAAAAGCAGAAATGAAATAATGCAGGAAGTATATTTGTAAAAAAAATTTACACCGTGTTTACAACCTAGAATAATAACGTTCTCAAATTCAAGCCAGTGTTCATGTGTTGATGATGAAAAGCTAAACAACGCAAAATTTGAAATACAAACTCTGGAGTCGTGTTCAAGAAATTTAAGTTACATGCATGGAAAGCTTAATTGCCAGCTTATATCACTCACTTCGTCTTGTAAATTCTTCTATTAATATCGCTGATTTGATTCAGCTGGGCCTTCGAAGGCTTTTTTGCTTTAACTGCCGTGATCACGCAACTCGACGCTTCATCTATATCGGCGCTTGCGTTGACCAGCATCGTTAGTTTAAGTTGGTCAGCTACTGTCATCAGTCCGCAGGCTTCGTACTGTTCTCTTGTTGCTTTCTTTGATAGCAATAATAAGGATTTGCCGTCAATTTTTTGCGCTGTTTGCAGAAAAAAGAACAAGAAGAGGAAATTATTGTACATAGTACAGGTAAACTTAAACTTTTTTCAATAACAAAACACACCAACTATGAACCGAACGGGAAGGAACGAATCGAATGTTGATCGATCTAAGATCGCGGCCGCCATCTTTGAATTGGCATATGAACGATTTCTAGCCCTTCTAACAGACTGTAGAAAAGTTGCAAAGATAACTAAAGTAAGGTTAAATTAAATCTTAATAACTTAACAGCACTTAATATCTCATTTTTATTCAAAAATGAAGTTTCTTTCTTTCGCGCCAAAACTTTCAGTGAATGACCAGTTTTCCCCCACGGCAGAGCGATAAAAACTCGATCACGTTTAATATGAGTTAATTGAAAGTGCACAATAATGAACCCAAAGCTGAATTGAAAAGTTTCAGGCCTTTTTTCAAATACTGGTAGGTTATCTGAAAGAAAAAGCGGACCATCATACGCAGCGTAAAATGGCGCGAAAAAACACAATGCGACACAAGCTTACCTTCGAACTTCTCGGCAATTTCTAATTGGAATTCTTTCGCAATAAAATCCTTCACTTCTTGGATATTCATTTCTTGTACGGAACTGGACGTTTCATTTTCACCCATGGTTGTCAATAAACAACAAAACGAAGAATAAAGAAGACCAATTCAAAACCGTCACGTCCTCACTTGCACAATTCATGGGCGGAATGAACAACGCTGGGATCAAACACGGGATCTTCATCGTCATTCCGCAACGTGATTGGTTGATGAAAAAAAAGCTGGGGTGTGATTGGTGCAGGTTATCTTCGCGCGGGAAATTCGGCGTTTTGGATTGACGTTTCCTTTGGAGGGCTTTTTGAAATTATGGTGAAGGATCGGCATCGGCAGGATATCTTCGCGCGGGAAATTCGGCGTTACTGATCTTTGTTTTTTACCCGTCGTGAGCCAGCTGCCCGATATTATGGAAACTAAAAGACGAAGATTTGAACCTTATGTTTGGTCAAGAGATGATATTGTCTGCTGTAACTGTTCACAGTTAAAATCTAGACACGTACATTGCCCTTGTTCCAGCTGCAATGGTGCTGCAGTTGCACGTTCCCTGGAATATTCTCATTGGCAACAACAACAAGCCATTGCTGATCTTGGGCTACCCAGGTAATCACAAAAATATAGGCTCATCATTTTAACATGTGGTTTAAATTAATTTAAATTTAAATTTGTGGTTCAATTTTATCCTTGGTTTAAATTTTATTTTCTTTTGTTTCAAACTCATTATCATACATTACCATACCGAAAAACAAAGGAAAATAAAATTTAAACCAAGGACAAAATTGAACCACAACATATACATGACTGCTTTTGATATACAAATAAATGGGCAATATCCACAATCATTTGAATTCTCTTGAGGCTGCACCTGATCACAAGTATTCCTTTGTTTCAAACAGAAATGAAGAACCCAGTGATTCACACAACGACTCAGGCATTGATGAATTTTCATCCCCTTTGTCTCCCGGGGACAACGTCACCATTACTGTGCACGTGGATGATGTCTATGACTGCAATTCTAGTGCCCTACCTGGCAACCAGACTGGTGCATATGCTTCAAGTACCTCAAGTTTAGCAGAAATGACAGAATCCACCACCCCAGAGAACACCTCAGATGATTTGGAAATTGACCCTGATGACATACAAATAACAATTGCTATACTAAAAGCATTGAATTTAGTGGATCAAATGAATGGGTCAATATCAGATTTTGAAGACGTCCTGCAATTTGCCAAAGAGTTGTACTGTAGAAAGGACAGTCACTTAGAAGAAAAATGGCCAGGGAATTGGCAAGACACACAAACAGTTCTCCAAAATTGTGGATACAAATCTCCCAGAGAACTTTACATCTGTTTGGATGAGAGCCATTACACACAATGGGATGTCATGGAAAATGGTGAAGACAAATGCAGACACTGCGGAAAGAAAGGCACGATAAAATTCTACTACCTGGGAATTTCTGACAAAGTTCAACTTTGGTGTAGTAATCGTGGTGTGTGTGAGAAAATGATGGCCCACTGGGGTGAGAAAGAACACTGGTTAGTAGGGGAAGGTCCTAACTTTATATTGAAAGAAATCTGGGATGGTGAAAGATTTAATGAGCTTAAGTGGTTCTGGGATCCAGATTCTCGCTGGATGCTACCTGTTAAGTGTCAGTACTGTGCTAATGTGACAAGTAGTGATGAGATCGAGGAATTTCCAGAAGAAGAAGGGAAGCATGTGATTACATGTCATGAATGTGGATCAAGGTGGAAGCACACACCATGCTATTCTAGAGGGGATCCCCGCAATATTGCACTTATTGGCCACTGGGATGGTTGGCAGCCCTTTGGATACCCTGGAGCACATAGTTGTGGTAAGCAAACACCTTCTTTCTCACTTCTAAGAAATAAATGTAATGTATCCAATAACACAAATGTGCTTAAGACTGCAGTTAACTGACAGGAGTTAAGTCTTGCTGTTGAACACCTTATTTAAACTGTTATCTTCTTATCAATGATTAGCATCTTCTTAATTATAGGGGCAATAGAAGTGACAATAGCTAACATGGCTAAGGCTGAAAGAAGCAAAACTGATCAAGTTTATGTGGTGGGATTTGTCCCTTCTTATCAGCTACCTAAGAGTCGTCCATGTTCCTTGGATCCATTCCTGCATCCCCTTGTCAGTGACATTGAAAACATCTTCATTAATGGTATGAAACCATAAGAACTATTCGGCCTATGGGGTACAGATCAGTAAAACTTATTGTGTATTCAACAGAAAATTATTAATTTAATATTCATTTATTTAGAACATTGTCATGTCAGACACATACTGAATCATGTACTGTTAAAAATTTAAGGTTGATGATGAGTTTCCAGATTTAAATGTCTATGAATATAAACTAAGTAAAGCAGGCAAAATTATGCCTTACATATGTGTAATTTTTCACTTGGCCGTTGTTTGAAATTTTGTTGGGTAATGTTTAGCTAGTGTAAATAACAAATACTTTCCTCCTTTTTTCTACATGTAAATACAAATAATTGAATCACATTGATTGTTTTTGCAGGTCTTGAAGTCGACTATGCTGCATCATTTCCTTGCCTTCCTGCAGGCAGGATCACCATTAGAGTATTGATTTTATTATGGACAGGTGATTACCCTGCACAACATGAGGTTGGAAAGTTCATCAAACATGGGATATTGCCATGTCGTAGAGATAAACTGAAAGGTAAATTTGACATAATTGCATATAATGAAGAATAATAACAGAATAATACATACATAATAATGAAGAATAAAAATTATTGCAAATTATAAAATATTGTCAAAATTAAGTCACTGTGCAAGTAATTTATTAGAATAATGCTACCTCTATCATCACGGGCAAATTAAAACCAAAGTAAAAGACTTAAGGAAGGTCTAAGCATTTTTACATTGTGTTTTACATAAAAGATGCTCAGATCACTTGCTAATTCTACTGTGTCTAATTTGTTCTCTTAAATTCAACAGGAACCATAAATCCCGAGGGTGGGAGCACATACTACTATGGTGATAATAGGTACCATGCCAAATATCCATGGGAGGAAAGAAAGTTGGAAGAGGCTTTGCCACTGATGACAGATATTAATCAGGAAGACCGCAAAACTGTCAGAGCAAGCAAAAGTCGAACCAGTGGATACACTGGATTAAGCATTCTTCATCGATTACACAAACTTTACGGATTCAGCATCTTCAAAGATCTTGTTTATGATACAATGCACAACCTCCCAACTAATGTCATTGCATCACAACTCAAGGAACTCATTGCATCTGAGAAGATTGACAGTAAACTTGTTGCCCAACGACTGAAGGCCTTCCCTTGGACAGCAGGTTTGTGACCTAGAATATTATTTTCATGTGTAAATGCATGAAAGTAATATTATAACAGTAAATTCTTTATTACTTTTGGGCACAATATTGCTTTAGGTGCAAAGTCAGTGTGTTTTTTTTTTTTGACAGGTTGTATTGTACGATATAAATGCCTCCCTGCTACATACCCTAGTCCTTTGAACAACAAAGTTTATATTATTTAATTTACAAGTTTTTCAAAACATTTTTTTACATTCCTGAAATCTTTGTTAATTGTTTGTAGTTTGGGTTAGTCAATCACCTGACAATTACTTTATTTATGTTCATGTATCATACATCTGTTACTGTCATTAAAGTGATTGAATTAATAATACAGTAATATTATTATAATAAATATTTTATTCCTTGTGAATAAAATGATTATAATAATTAACAGGAATTAGCTGCTGTCAGTGGTGCAAAAAGAAAAGAAAAATCAATCACAATTCAACAATTTTTCACTGTCAAATTATGATTTTATAGAACTTAAAGATGGAAGACTTCCCACTGGTATTGATTCACGTTTGGCCTTCTGGAAGGCAGAAGAACTTCATAAATTCGCCTTTCCAGCATCTGAAGTAATGTTTGCTGACCTACTGGAGGACATGGACTATCACATTTGGCAATTGACAGTAAGGATGAATGAACTGGTCTTCTCTAAAAGAGATGGTTGGAGCCTTGAGGATGCCCACCTTTTCTTCAAATTAGCTAGCCGATATTTGATCCTCACTGAGGAGCACAGAGGATTCACTTCCTGTGTAGTCACAGAGCATAATCTTCTCCACATTTCCAGTGATGCCCTTCGTTTTTCACATCCAGACAATTACTGGTGCTTTCCATTTGAAAGGGCTGTAAGGAGATATGTTACTACAAAGTGCAACTTTAAGAACATTGAGTGCACATTTGCAAGGAAAGAAGCACGGAGAGAACTGCTACAGCATCTATCAAGGTACTTCGAGGGTCCTCCCAAACCGTTCAAATTATCTCTTGAAAAGGTAACTTGGCCTTTATTTAGTTAATATATGTAACAATTATTTGTCAAAGGCAAATTTAATATACAATAATAGTAAGTAACACCTGTATGAATGTTTAAGTTTGTGGTTCCAGAAAAAATTCCACCTAAACCCATAAAGAACCACTCTAAATTCCAAGGGTTTTTTTTTTGTGGGGGCAGGGTCTGTTATCTATAAAGTATGAACTTTAATTGAAATTTCCAAAGGGAAGGAAGGATTTAAACCAATTAACCCTTTCATGTGGGAGATCTTGATATTTTCTACAACAAAACACTTTCATGATTTGAAGATTGAACTTGCACTTGCATCACGATCATACACAGCCAAGGATACAAGACTTTTTTTAACTTTAAATTTAACATCTATGATTGTAGTCAGGTTTGAGACCTTTAGTCAATTATGTTTTGTCAATTTTTCTGGTCAATGTTTGGTGAATTTATCTCGCTTAGATGAAAGCTTGTTTTTTTGCAGATGAGTGCAACCAGTTTGAAGGTGCAAGGCATCTGATGAAAATTGCTAACAATTCTGCTCATCATATAAACAATAGCAACAAGGGAATCCTTGTAGGTGGTTCTGACAGGAATGAAGTTCATTTATCACTACAAGAAGTGAATATGATAAAGTCATTTTTGGCCAGCTCATCAAGTGGCAATCGTGTTCCAGAACTTGCTTTCGCCTACAAAAGCCTCCTCAAGCCTCAGCAAGGAATTGAAGGTCAGGGACTTTTATACAGAAGTAGAGAGCACGCTTTCCTTGATGTGGAAAGTCAAGGTCCTTCAGTTGTCTTTATTGAAAGATTCCTGTGTTTGGAAATTGGAGGAGAGTATCACAAATTTGTCCAAGGCCAGTTTCTTCCTAGTAAGCTTGATGAAAATGGAAACATTGTGATATTTTCTGACACTGGTTTTCCTATTCTATGCAAAGATAGCCTCCCTAAAATGGTTATTCAACCCGTAACATGTATTTTGAGAAAGGTTATGGTTGTTTCCAATCCTTTTGAGCCCCAAGAGTCAGTTGTTATTGACTTTATGAGGAAGAGTATGCCATTGTCTGAGCACGATATTGTCGTTCCGTTTTACCCTGAGCGAGGAGATATGGTTTTGATCAATGGAACTGATCCTGAGCCATGGCTTGGAGAAGTAATGACTGTGGATGTAACTAATCAACTTGCTAAGGTCCGATATTACATCAGAAATGGGGAAAGAGAAGTTGGCTGCATTCTTGTTGATGTATTTGTCTCTGAGAGAAATGCCTGTTTAGACCAAGTATCCTGGAATGCAATTGTGTGTGCGGCAATTGGAGAATGGAATGGGAACACTTGGGAAATGATGCCTTTTATGTAGATAGCATGTGCTCAATAACTGTCAGCTTAACAACAAAATACTTTACCTGCAGTAACACCATAATGACAGATGTAATTAATCCCCTCTAAGGAATACCAGTACTAGAATTTTGCATTAACAATGTTAATTTATGATACCAAAATGTAGTCATTACCTCTTTTATTAGAATTGCTGGATTTGTTGATGTACTGTTCCATCAGTGGCTAAAGCATTTAGTTGGATGGGTAAAATACCAATATTGTTGGGAAATGGTTTATACCAAGAATGGTTTTGGGAGAAAGAATCTCAAAATACAAGCATGGTCTTTGGAATTCACATGAATGCTTTTAAAGTTTGACACAAACCATTTATGTTTTAATCCTTACATTAATGGTTTTTCAACTCATGGAGACAAACCATTAATGGTTTAAAGCATCATTAACATTTGTGTTCTTTTCTAATAACATCAATGGTTTGTACTGATGTATTATCCCATAAATGTTTAATGGTGTTTACATAAATGGGTAACATATAAACATTGTTGGGAATTGATTACACCAAGAATTGTTTTGCAAAAATAAAAAAAACACATTCATGGTATTTTAAAACCACAATAATGATGTATTATCACATTAGTGTTTAAAGATATTTACATAGATGGGTAACATATAAACATTATTGGGAATTGTTTACACCAAGAATGGTTTCATAAATTACACATTAATGGTATTTTAGACCCACAACAATGGTTTTATTATGTATGAAATACCATTCATGGCTATTACTGTAAACCCATCCATGACTGCTAGACTGTTTATGTTAATTGTTAAAAAAACATTCATAAATTCGAAATAACATTAATGTTTTTCCACTTAAAAAAATTAATTCCCTATAAAAACCATTAATGGTTTTTAACAATGAGTGGGAATTTCAAAAAAACCTTTGATGTTTTTTTGCAATTTTTTCCTGTGTATCTACTTACCTATCTACCTGCCCACCTACCTATCTACCTACCTACCTACTTACCTACCTACCAGTACCTAATTACTTACCTACTTATCTACATGTACCTACCTTCCTACCTACTTATTCACTTACTTAAATACTTATGTACTTACCTACCTACCTTTGTACCTACCTACCTTTATACTTACCTACCTATCTACCAACCTACCTAGGCCCTTGGCTTCTATTGAAGCAAAGGCCGTCAACAACACTCCTATACTATTATTTCTTTTATGGTAATTTTCCCATCAGAACCTCACATCTGGAAGGACACTAACTTTTATTTCATGGATACCTAACAGGGCTGTTTAGCAAAATGATTGATGATGGCTATATTCACTGGAATCTTTTGCGACACATGCTTAAGGCTGGTCTTGTAGACATGGCAGAAAAACTTGTTACTGATCTGAGGTGGCTGGCTGCAAAGCTTAGAATAACAGGACCTGCAGATTTACTGAATGACTACATGTCCATCAAAGGAGTTGTTGATAACAAGGTGCTGTCATTAATGACATACAAAGATGTACATCTGATTAGAAGCCCCCTGGTTTTAATCCTCCTTCCAAATGTATTGAAATGAATTCAAGTTATTATCGTGTTTTGAAGCTTAATTTGAAAAAAGGAAAAATATTAGGAAATGCAAAATGTATTTTGATAAGCCCCCTTTGGATATAAAGCCCTCCTAAATCCCATAGGCTTTTGTATAAGCCCAGCGTTTATATAATGGCAGGTTAAGGCATACATGTATATTCTCGTCAGATTTCAGGGTATACCTTTGTGTGGTATTGATGAGGAAAATTTGTTTAACAGTCAAGATCTTTACTTGTTGATCTTTTTATTTTTTCTTCCAACTATTATGTTTGATTCATCAGTATTGCTGTAAGGAGAAATTTAATTTCGGTCACTCTGAATTATTAGTCAAAGGGTTTGATACAAACTATCATAAAAGTACTTCATGAACTTATTGAAGTTCACAATTTTTCTCTGGAAAAAATCCAACAGTTTTTTTTCCTTGGATTAGGATATGTGAACAGGTTTAAGGGAAATTATGTGGGTGTCATACCAAGTGTAAAACAATTGGCTGTGCCTCCCTTTTGGATTCTGTGAAGAGGTGCTCTTACATATGTAAGCAAACTGGCATTAATTTTAGCACTTTTGGATAAATTAAGTTTAGCTTCTAGAAATACATAGTTGAAAGGAAGGAAATATTTTAGCACTGATACAATTCATTCATGATCAAATTTTTAGGCATTGAAAGTCATAGAAGATTTCCATCATTTTGTGAGTGTTAATGCGCATCGTTTTGTTGAGAAACCACTTCCTGATTTGATCCAGATGGCTCTGAGTGAATCATTAGACTCAGAGGTGTACAAACAGGCTCAAGAACAAGCGACGCAGCTGGCAGCTGAGGGCAATTTCTTTCTAGATTGGAGGTGAGGAAATAATATTTTAGTTTTTAGTACAGTGTACTGTAGTTTGTAACAGCAATGATTAACAAATTCAATTTTAAATAATTAATTCATTTAATAGCCAAGAATCTATGAGGTGAGGGGGGTATATGCGTGTCTCCCTAAGTGTTGCGCCTTAACGTGCTTGGGAGGTTGTATACCTATTGTTGGTGGTTGGGTTCAACCATGTAGGACAGGTTTTGGGTGGAAGGCCAGACAAATTCTAATGCCTGGTCCTCCAGGCTGGGAATTAGGTGATGAGTTAATATCCCATCGCTGAAAAAATATCATAACTGAAACCAGACAGAAGGAAAGGAAAAGTGTGGAGGCCTTATATGTGTAACAGAGTTAAAGAGGTGAGGTGATTGTGGTATGCTTGACTGGGCTTGACTGAAAGCTAATGTCCTCTGAAACTATTTGTTTGTCATTATTCCTTTTTGTTTTTGTTCAGTAATCAAAGGGAAGAGTCACAGGAAACTCTGCTTATAACTGTCAAGATTCATCAAGGAGCAGTTTACTGCTGCCATTTCTCACAAGATGCAAGCAAAGTGGTATCCTGTGGTGCTGACAAAACTGTCAAGGTATGCACAGGCATCCCATCATAACACTTAAATTGCATTTATAACTGTAAACAATAGGTTATTGTCAAAATATTTCAAAAAGAGCTTATTGCTTAATTGGAGAATTGGCTTCTCTTAGGGGCTGGTTCTTTCAGAAATAGATGTAAAATACATTTTTTATTGCAAAATACAAATGATTGAAGAAAACTTTGCAGCGAAACAACAACTGCAGCTTGTGGTTCCAGATGAGATGTCATCTCTGTGGTATGTAAGAGTACAGACAATAGAAAAATGTTGTATATGTCATTAAATACACTCGGAATAAATAAAAATATTATTATTACATGTCTGGACCACTTGAACCTTGACTAAGTGAGTGATCATCATCCTCTGTTTTGTTCAAGGTATGGGAGAGTCATTCTGGTAAAGAACTGCTGTCAATGACAGGACACACTGATGTGGTGTACTGTTGTAACTTTTCCAGTGATGATGGTAGAATTGTTTCTTGTTCCGCTGATCATACAGTGAAGGTTTGTATGCCCCCATCCCAAGTCATCATTAATGTCACCATAAATTATTTGCTATGGTTTGTTCATATCATCATCATCATCATCAGCAGCAGCAGCAGCCCTAGCATCCCATAATCACCATTATCATTGTCACATTCATTATTGTCAAAAATTATCATCATGATTTTCATCATCGTCATCATTTTTTCAACCAATACTGTAGTTCAAACAGTTTTGATATAACTCAAAGTATTTTTATTTGACAAAAAATAGTCAAATTTCTGTTAGTTCTGAAAAGATGTTCTTGTTCCTAATCCAAGGGATTCTGGATTATAGGGTCAACTTCCTTAATGTAGCTATCTAGAAAATCTCAGATCTCTCAAAATTGCAGTCTTGACAGATAATGGAATTAGTCATGTCAGAATAATTCTTGCAAATTTCTAAGACATTTTGAGAACTGTAATGAACAGTAAGTTACAAGGCGGAATGTCACTTTGTCAGTCATTTCTGAGACTGCCTGTCACCAAGCAGGTTAGGAAAAAATGTCACTGTTGCATTTTAGCAGAGGACAAAATGTTGCTTTTGGTTCAGGAATTATTGGAATTATTGTTATCAACCTTTCTCCTTTGAGGGACCATTCTTGAACAATACCATAATTAAAAAATGTTCCAAAGAAAGTAGCAAAAAATTTTTGGAAATAACAGAAGGGAGTTTGTTATTTCACTGCCAAAACAGGCCAAATGCAAAAGTGAACAGGTGTCGCTTTTACTACTTAAAATAGATTGTCACTGTGACAATAATTATTCTTCTCTCCTTTTCTGTTGATTGTCTGTGTTTTCTGGGAGGATTGTTGCCTGTCACTTCTACCCCTTGGTAGGCCTCAGTTACAGTGCTTACATTTTGAGGACAGCTTAACAGGTGTCTTTTGTTTCATTGCTTTTGTTAAGATCTGGGACTGCAGTATAAGTGGAAGAGAATTGCTTAACTTTAAAGGTCACAATCAGGATGTGTTCACTTGCATGTTTTCACCTGATGACAGTAATGTGGTTTCCTGCTCAGCTGACAAAACTGTAAAGGTATTGTTAAAGTGAATATCCTGTACATTAATCACCAGGTTCGAGTTGTTCAAAGCTGGGTCAAGATAACCCAGGGTTAGTGCAAGATTTGAATTCAGATATGGAAGCTTAAAAATCAGTTCAAATTCAATTCTTTTTCTCTACAAGTTGATTATTGGAAGCTTTAAAAATAACAGAGAAAATTATCCGCGAAAATGCTTTTGAAAACAAGAAAAAGAAACCCGGGTTAATCGCTAGTCGGCCGTCAAACAGCTGAGCCCAGTAGTACAATAGAGATGTTGTTTAGGTGTGTGACATTATCTAACCCCAGCTAATAATGTCTGCTAGCGGCTCCAAGGTCCTTGTTCTGGGCTCCCAACAGACTCAGCAAATTACCAGAAGTGCATTTCATATTTCCCTTCAACCTGATTGGCTAATTGAACAGTGGCTTTTTTAGCAAGTCAACCATAGCGCGTACTCAAACTGGGTACACAGCTGGAAGCCCAGAACAAGGATTTTGGCACTGGCTCGCATGTGGACTTAACCTGAGGTTTAATTTTGTCTGTGGCACAGGGTTAGGTGAAAAAAACGCGGAAATAAGCTGTTTAGGAAAGTACTCATGGCACTCCTCTCAGCAGTATTTTCACTGGCTGAGGAGAACAGAATTCTCCTTGATTATTCATATGGCAAACTTCAGCCACGTTTGTCTTCCGCCTGTACTGTAGGGTTAATTGACGTGTATTTTCTCACGTACGTGGCGTTTAACGTTTACGAAGTCGTTTGCGTGGCTTTCCTGTTACGTAGTTGGTTTGTTTACGCAACAAGACATAAGCAAACCAACCATGCGACAGACAAGCCACGTGAACGACTTCGTAAACGCTAAAAGCCGTGCAAAAGAGAAACCTCTGCTCGTTTTCTGTCCTTGTCAATTCTTGAACAAACTCACGGTTCATATAATTGTGCAAATATTTAAGGTGTGGAACAGTGGAACTGGAGAAGAGATGGTGACATTTACTGGTCATGCAGATATTGTAAGATGCTGCTGTTACTCGCCTGATGGCTCAAGGATTGTTTCCTGTTCTGACGACACTCTTGTTAAGGTTTGTGGAGATGTTTTAAGTAATATATCAAACATGAGACGCAGTGTTTCATCACCAGATGAAACACCGAGAAGAGAGTTGAAAATACGACGCACAGCGGAGTATTTTTGACGAACTTCGAGGTGTTTCATTTGGTGATGAAACACTGTGTCGAATGTTTGATATTTCTTCTCAAACAAAATCATTTTTGAAGGAGAAATGAAGGATGCAAATACTGAGCAGTTTTTCATCCGATTTCCAAACACTCATTAAACATTAATTTTCTTTGTATTTTCTTTATGAATTATTAATGAGTTTGAGAAGGTATCATCCAGGGTAAAAATTCATATCGTTTCCTAAATTGCAATTTTTAGATGAGTAGATAAGATCGTTGGGGACTATTTTTTAAAAAACAATTGCAAGAAAATGTTATCTGCGGAGACATTAGGCCATTGAGTGGGATACTAAAAGTGAAGCTGTACAAGTAATATAAATGTGTGTAGATTGTGCTTTTTAAGATGTGCCCACCAAGAGACATTCAAGTATAAATTACTTTTTGTTTCTAGGTCTGGGATTCTTTGTCTGGACAAGAACTATTTTCTCTCGAAGGTGGCACAAACTCTGCCATGACATACTGCTGTTTTAAGCCTACTGGATGTAGCATCGTTGGAGTCTCGGATACTTCTGTCAAGGTTTGGTATTAAATATTACAAGTATTCTTTTTATTTATAATCGTTATCTGCAAATTCGGTTTACGGTCATCTCGCCACCGAAGAAATCGCCACCAAGAAATCGTCTCGCCACCAACAAATAATTTTGTATTAATTGACACAGTTTAATACCTAGGATTACTTACCTAGGAGTTTAACTTTTTCGTCAAGCTTATTCAAATTTAGAGTCGACCCAAATACAAATCTGTGGATCCTTGCGTCGAACGTCTTATGCTCTTGATAATGCAAATACTAATATTACATGTATAGGTTCTGTGAATGTAAACTTCAACATTTGAGAGATTAAAAAACTGGTAGAAACGTTTCACAACCACGACTCATTTCTTTGAAATATAAAAATAAAGAAGGTTCAAAACAATGCTAAGCTAAGTTCTATTTTTTGTGGCGAGGTGACCAGAAACCGCTAATTCAAGCCATAGATCACAATGGGAAAGACAGCAGTTATATCAATATTGGGGTGAATGTAAAGTTTTGCCATTTGAATAAAAGCTATACCTTATCAAGGGAGATAAATGCATCGTGAAATTATCGCAAAAAATTTGTGTCAATTGTAGCCTTAATTTTTGGCAACGTTAGTTTTCGCGACCTTAATTTCCATTATTTTGGCCCCAAATTCTTGATGCACTTCAGCCACTCTTGACACCTAAGAAAGACGGGTATTTTATCAAGGTGGAGATCCACCAGAATCAGTGAAACTCTAAAGAACTTTCGAAGTGGCCAGATTTCTTCGCTTGACTCCCGTCGTACGTTTAGGGAAGGTATAGCAAACAAATTTTTCATTTCAGATTATTCGCTTAATTCTGTCCCTGTGTTTTGTCTCAAACAAATTTGTTTCTTTGTGAACATGGCGTTAATTTTCTTTATTTTCTGAGAGTCGTTTGCCATTAAATTTGTGTTAACTTAAGCCGCGGTAATTCAGTGAGTTCCAAGGTGATACCTTAATTTCATGGGTCAAGTAGTAGGTAAATGCCATCTTCTTTGTTTGCATTTTTGTTTTAGATATGGGACTCAACAACTGGTCAAGAATTAAAGAGCCTCCAGACACCATCTACAACTCTCTCTTTGGCTTATTCTCAAGACGACAGCATTTTGGCTTTGGGCCTGTCTGACACAACTGTTCAGGTATTTTGTTATCCTCTTTACAACTTACTATAAATTATTGTTACCACTTTTCAAAAAGGTTAGCACAGTTGCTATAGATCCTACAGCATCTCACGTAGATCTACTGGTGAGGAAGCCCTAAGAACGTCTGTGTTGGCAAGATTTTTAAGCAGGGGTTGGAGCTGAGGGGAGCAAGGGGGGGGGGGGTCGGTGTTACACCAGCATCATTATTGAGTTAATGTGTAGCTCTTGAATTTGACGTGTTTTAAAGATCAAAGGGATGTTTTTGTGCATTTATCTTTTTTTTTATTCTATCTTGAAGTAACCTGTTACCCAAGTGAAACATGCAAGTGTGGATGGGAAGCAGATGGCCGTCTCCACAAATATCTTGTTAAATCTTTTTGAGAGCATGTTTTCGTGGGTGCTGGCAGGGTTTTAAAAGCTCATAGGAAAGCCAAGATTAGGGTGCATCCCCCTTTGTCTAAACGCAATAAACAGAAAGTGTTCTAAAGCGGCCTAACCTTTGAACTGTGTTTGCCAATTTCTTGTGGTTCTGTGATCATGTAAGACCAGGGAGGCCTGTGAGTAATGCACTGTTTCTTGTTTGTTTTGGTTTTCCTGCTAGCTGTGGAATGCCGTCAGTGAAGCCAGCTTGGGTGCGTGCAGAGGTCATTCTGGTTGGGTACACTGTGTCGCCTTTTCACAGGATGCCTGCAAGCTGGTGTCAGCATCAGATGATGAAACTGTGAAGGTAATGATCAGTGATAACTGAACTGTCTATTACTGCCGGCCAGGAGGTAAAGTGGTGTAACGCCCTTTTACATGGACATCAAGTTACCCTGGGTACCAGGGGTTTTTTCTCGCCTGTGGCGGGATGCTTCGGGGCTGACAGATCTTCGTAAAGACTTGACCGAAATCGGAAACCACGCATGAAAAGTCTCTGGCACTCAGGGTAACATCAAGTTCAATCTTTCGTGAATTATATCAATCATTGGATGAGGCCAGAAACTCATAAGGGGTTGAAACCCCTTATGAGTTTCTGATGAGGCTGAATATTGTGCGAAGAATTGTTTCCGACAAAACAGTTCCCGATCGGCAGTCTCAGGAAACTAAGAAATGTTTTTCTTTTAGGTATTCAACAAAATGTAGTCGGCCTCCTTCGAGGCAGTAATTACCTAAGTTTTTGAAATCTTCCATCAATTGTCTCAAGCTGTACTCTGTTAAAAATCTGAATCTGATCCCTCTGTGTGTCTATTTTTGTTTGATACAATAGAATGCCAACTGAACTGCAAAGTGTTTGTTCAACAGAGACCTGAGCAGGTTTAATTGGGCATCAGTTCTGGCCCTGGAGAAGACTTGTTCTCATTATCATTTTCATCACCAATTTTGTTTTCTCGTGAAGTGCAGAACCATTAAAAAAAACTTGCCCAGCTTGACTTCCTTTGACCATTGATATTACAAGGATATACTGTGTACTGTAGCAACGTTTACTTGTTCTGAAGGTTGTTTGTTTCCTAATGACTGTGGCGATTGAGTTGGTTCTGTTTTACCAATTTTTTGTTCTTTCTCTGTCTGTAGATATGGACTGTTGACAAAACTACCGTTCAGGGCTCTATCAAGCTGAGAATGGTTTTTGATGTTTTATTTCTGGATGGTTCGCTGATTATTGCCATAACTGATGCTTGCAACAGGCTCATGGTAACATTTGCTATTACAATGAATGCGTTAATTTAAAAACTGTCATTGATACTTAGGGTCCTTACCAGAAGTCAGAAAATGCCAGGCGGACTGTCAGCCGGACTGGTATTCAAGAACCTATCAAATAAATCGCCCCATCCAGATTCTGGAATCTGGGAAATTTCTGCTTGTGGAATCTTGGGACCCCGGGGGGCGGACTCCCATATAAAAATGACGGGGATGCTCGTCGGAAAATTAAAATTAAACCCCTAAGGGAGACCAATGTGGGTGTGGCTTAAGCTTAAACTGACCCCTAAAGGATACCACACAAAAACACCTATATCACGGCATTTTCTTTGTAAATTTCTTTATGCACAGCCCTAAGGGATACCTGACTGGGCAAATATAGTGACTTTCCGTCCCAAACACCCCAAATGAGATCGAAATTTGCAATTTACATCCCTAAGCGAGACTACAGGCATCTCCGTCACTTTGATATGGGAGTCCCGCCCCCCCCCTCCCCTCCGTCTCTAGAGAGATCTATGTCATTTGGACGGAAAGTAACATAATTCCAGTGCACAAGATCCAAAAGGCTTTTGTACTTCACTAGTACAAAAGCGCAACATAAAGTTTGTGTAATTTTCCCTTTTAGATATACGAGGGTGAAAATACCAAGTTTCTGGCACAAAGTGAACCACACGCATGTAAAATCACTAGCATTAGTTTCAATAGTGATGGACGGCAAGTTGCGATCGGCTTAGATGATGGTAGCGTTAAGGTAAAATTCTTTTCTTTTCTTTTCAGTTCAGTTCTTTTCGGGGGTTTGCAAGCTGTTAAACATGAATAGTGAAAATTCCCGTATTAACCCCTTCCCTCCGAAAAAACTCTCCCTTTTTCTCTCCGCTCAGCTTTGTTCTTGGTCTGCAAACATGTAATACGGCGGTCATGTTGGTGGTCACTATACTGAATTTTATTTTTCGAAAATTTACGTGAAAATAGAGTTTAGTTCCCAGCGAAGAGAAATGCTGTCGTTCTTGATCATCAACATGGCCGCCGTGACGTCACGCGAAGCCAGCAATGCTCTGTTGCACGGAAGGTAACAGAGCACTCAGCCTGTACTAAACATTGTGATGAGTCGTAGAATTCAGAATGTTGTGCAGAATAACAGCACAACATAGACTTGGCACAAGAGTACACGGCACAGTACACGATACGTTGTCATTACGATCTGCCAGTCTTAGTTTTGACAAAGGCTATTAGGAATATTTAAAAGAAAACTCATTCTAATTGATTCATGAATTGTTCGTTTGAGAAGTGTTATTGTACCATCTGCTTGTTTGTTTACTTTAACGGTTGGAGTTAAAGCTTCAATATACGGTAAATTAGGATTCTTTCCTACTGGATATTATAAATTGATCATACATGATAACTCACTCCCTAAGCTAGCGATGAGTTTCGCTGATGTCTTGTTTTAGTTAGTCGGTTGTTTCCTACCCTGCGAGCATAGGCCCTTCGATTATCTAGGAAGATGGAAGGGCCTCTGCTCGCAGGGTAGTTGTTTCCTGAAATCTTAGGTAGAATTTCCCCTTCACGAGGTAAATTTGTGAGTAGAATACTTATAGTAATTTTTTAGTAGCCTTTTTTCATGATCTCATTTTCAAAAAACATTTTTTTTACATAGATTTTGGAGAAATCTTCTTGTAAATTCAGTCAAGAGTTTCATGACCACTCAGGTCGTGTGAAGTGGTGTGCATTCAGTAAATGTGGTCAAGTTTTAGTATCGGTTTCGGATGATTCCACTGCAAAGGTAACTATAGCTATAACACTGGTAAAAATAAATAACGTAGAACAAAGCGAACGACAACACTGATGTTTCTTTTTTTTCAATGTTAGGACCTCAGGTCTTGTAAGATGCAATTTGCTTTTTTGTTGCTTTTGTTTTAACGGTTTTATCCCAGTTTTTATCCACGGTCCAACTAATATATACCAAGAAAATCGACCCTGTATTCTGCAGTTATGCCCGCAGCTAAAAGTAACTTTGTAGTCTGTGTATAAATTCAGTCTGAACAAACATTTAGTACTGGTGACAATTTACAATGAACGTCTTCGCTTATTATGTAGGTTTACAGTTGTGTGGAAGGACGACTTCTGTTCTCACTAGAAGGCCATACTTCCAGTGTTCAAAGATGTATGTTCTTTAATAAGGACCATCGACGCCTGCTTACGTCTTCTCTAGATGGATCACTTAGGGTAGGGACTGCTATTTTGTACTATTTAATTCAAGAGAACATTAAAAATCCATTCTACAAAATGGCCCGAAAGAAAGCCACTCGAAATCCATGTGACGTAAGGCCAACTTAGCCTGTGTACAGACGTCCCCTCCTCCCTCAGGAAAAAATCGGGAGAGGAGACTTAACCCTGACTTGAAGCTTTGGTGCGACATTATTAATTTAAGATTAAGGACTAAACCACCAATTAAAGCTTTAGCCTGATATAATTTCCATATAATACAGGGTGGCTAATACGGTTCTTCAATCTCGTCATCCTGGGTTAAACTTAACCATCTTTCGAGGAACCGGGCCCTGCAGTTCCCAAAGATTCCTTTAGGGAACAAAGTCGAGTGCCAAGTATTGAATTCCAAATGTCATTCCGTAGAGTGTCGAGGAACATTTTTTTTGAAATTGGTCACGGTGAACGAACACGGTGACAAGGGATGAAACGAGACCTGCGTCAATCCCTTCATTACCCAGCCAGCCCATGGAGCCCACTCCATCTAGGGTAACGGATGAAGGAAATCTCCCGTAATTGGACATGAGTCCCAACCACATACAAACAGTACGTTTTCAACCTTCTTGCAAAAGTCTATATTTCTACTGGACTTCTAAAAGTCCTTTATTTTTTTCCCTGGTTGGTTATGCCATTTTAAAGGACTCTTCATACCTGTTTGTGTAGGTAGTAGCATGATTTGTAGTGATGTTTAGCATGAATACCACGAGCGATATTTCGAAATTGTTATACGTAATTTCACGAGCCGCTAGGCGAGTAAAATTTGAGACAATTTTGAAATATCACGAGTGGTATTTATGCCAAATATCACGTACAAATCATGCTATTATTTGTTTATACTACTACCCACAAAAGGGTTGTAATTTTCACATGTAGGTATTTCAAATTAAGTTGAAATACCACTGCTCTAAGCCAATCAAATTGCAGAAATTTCTCACGTAGTAGTATAAGGCGCGAAATTCGCCGGTCGAAAATTCTACCGGTGACGTCATGACAATTGAGCAATAGGACAGTGAGCGATATTTCACGTTGCTCCCGACACAGCATATGTCAATCATTTTTTCCCGCGTAAATTTATAATGTTATTCAAATCAATTCAGGCGAAACAAGTCGAGCTTGAGACTTCGTCGCTCGCTGGGTTGCTGCGCGACCTCATGTTTTGAAGCTCGTTTCATTCGCTTTTAAGAACTTATGAGAGGTCGACTCGTAGTAAGTCTATATTTCTACTTCCTTGTTTGACTTTCTGCATACCCTTTATATTAAATCCAGTCAAACTGTGGTTAAACGCTAACCTGATTGCAACAGAATTTCAAGAGATAATCCTGTCGTGGCGTTCAGTTGAAAGGATGAAGCCCTGGCTGCATGGCTTTCAGTGCCTCCTGGTTGGTGCCTATTTCCTTTATGTAAACTTAACTTTTACACACGGTTTTCTCTTAAGGTGTGGGATACACAGACAGGTTGCCTTCAGTTTTCCTGTAAGCACAGCAGTAGTGAATACATTCTATCTTGTGATGTGTCGCAGGATGACTCAAAGCTGCTGTCAGGATCAGTGGATAGATACGCCAAGGTAAACTACGGATTATAATTATACAACAAGCTGAGGTGAAATCCTTAACTTGGTTATCATAATCACATGCGAAAGAAACTCTGCACTGTTCGACAGGAACGTCGAAGAATAAATAAAGCAACGAAAAAGAATTGGACAATTTTGCACGTGCATCGCACTTTTCTGTTATTTATTTATTTATTTATTTATTTTTTGCACATTTTAATACGACGTGAAATGGCGACTTTAAAGTTTTCTTTAGAACGTGGAACGTGCACGTCCAGGAGAAAAATTTGTACCTGTCTGAATTCCATTCCGAATTCGAATTCGATTTTTTTTTAATTAGGTAGAGATTTGCAAACATAATTTTTGTACTTATATGGTCTCTCTTATTAGATCTTTACATACATTGTGTATTTTGATACGGCTTTCATGTAAAGAACTTTTTAAGTTATCGAAAGTACCGTATTGGTTAGTGATTCATTCATTAAACTTGGACGCGGATTCTCTTCTTTGGAAGATCCAACTTATTTTCGTAGATTTTAATTCAGTCAGTAAACGACTTGAAATAATCGCGAAAAAGTTTGAAAGGACGCCATGCCAGTTTTTCAGTGAGTTTTCATTGGAGTCGTTTTAATGTTGTCGGAACGTATGGTGTCCGTAGCTACGTCTCTGAATTTTATGGCTAATGCCTGTCCAAGCTAGCAATTGATTCCAAATCTCTTCGTCAAGATGTTTTCGTGTAACCGTGATCAAAACCGCCTCGCGCCACAGAATCTAACAACGTCAGATAACCGCTCAGTGTAAACACGCAGTGTAATGAAAATATGTTTCATTTGTAAGTAGGCTGAGCATGTTTCGTTAAGTATGAACACAACATAAGTCAGATTAAAATTAAAACACTTATGAGTAATCCTCCTCCTTCCATGCTATGAGATACTGAAATGCTTATTCTAGGCGGCGGGTCTAAAATACAGGTCACTTTTCACAGGCCATTCTTAAAATGTCATAAGCAGGCTTAGCTCACCTGTGCGTAACTGTTCCAACTTTCGTTAAACTGGCGCAGTGGAATTCAAAATACACGTAAGCGGGTAGCTTTTTTGTGTAATTACCGACACTTACAAACTTAACTTTAATTTGAGTTAAGTAAATGGAAAGCAAGCTTCTGAAACTTAACAAAACAAGAACCACGCCACATGTTTTTCAAGTTCGTCTGCACATGCGCCGATTACAAGTTGAGGAGACCTTGACGCGTGGCACGTGCAGCACGTGCAACTCGTGTTGATCGTGCAGTTTAAAATCAAAATACATAGATAGAGCTCTCCTGAATCAAAGGCATAAGACCCTATTACATGAGACAATAATTTGCAGCTTTTCTCTCAATTTATTTTTGCCGCGGAATATCAAGAAACGCTATCAAATTTAACACCTCCCGACTTGAAAACGTCTCGCAATGTTTTTGTCGCCGGGACTGTTGAGAGAAGTTGAACGTAATTCTACTTAGTGTAAGGTTTGCTGCAACGAAAACGCTACAAGACGTGTTCGTTTTAGGTACTGTCAGTAGGAAATCCTTTTTACAACTGGTGTTGAAACACAACTGCTAGACAAGTTGAGCGGGAAAATTTCTCTAAAGAAAGAAAAAGCTAGATCCCTTCGTGTTCTCTGAATTCCACTGCGCCATTCTACACTTTAAGTTTGGGCCAGTATCTTAGAGCTTAAAATGTGATCAAAAGGGAATTATCAATTTAACTGCACACTTTTTTGAATGTGTTTAGGTTTGGGATGCTAATTCTGGAGCTCTTTGTTTCTCCCTTGGGCCGCATCCTGACTGTGTGAGATCTGCGTCATTTTCTAAAGACAACAAGTTCATCTGTACTGGCTGTGACGATGGAACAGTTAGAGTAAGTGCAGAGCTGTAACATTTGGAGATATGAGCAAAAACAATCCAAATTGAAAAAAAAAATGTTGAAGTGAATGAATAAACCAAAGAGCGAACAATAATATGTTGAATGAATAGGCGTCCTCAATTTTTAATAGGTAAGTTAAAAAGTATCTGTTAAATGAGTAGTTAGGGAGGTATGTAGTTCTTTTAAGTTTACTTTCGTCGTTAGACATTTGGTGAACTCAGACGCTATATAGAGTTAAATTACATTCCATCTATACACATAGCAACTATAATGATGTTACTATACCTCAAGTGGCATAAGCTCGTTAAAAGTGTTTGTTATGGGCTAGTAGGGGTATTATGTAATGTTTTAAACACACTCCTTTGTCAGGTGTGGAATGTCGCTGATGGACGAGAACTTGCAGTTTGCAGTAAACACGATGGATGGGTAAGCAGTTGCTGGTTCTCAAGCGACAGCGACTTTCTGGTTTCCGTTAGCAACAACATTAAGGTACGAGTATATATTTTTTTTACTGGAATATTTATTCGTTTGTCACTTGTTGTTTGCTTGCACAGTATTTTTCCCAATTTGTCTTGGGTCTTACAGTCGTTCCAAGAGAAATCGAAGACAATAGAGACCTTTAGTATCAGTTTTTTTCGTGGTTGGTGCAAACTGCAAACCTGAAGATGTCACGTGACCATGGTCTTGCGGTCACGTTTGCAGTTTGCAGTTCACGTTTGACGGCGGGAAGGCCTTCCAGCGGTAAGTGAGGCAAGGTTTTTTGGTACAGCCTCATATTTTAAGGCAGGGAATAGGTTTCTACACCCACTTGTGATGTGTTAGTTAGAATTTGAACTCCAGTCAATGATCTCTTCATGGTTTGTATGCGATAAAAGTGAAGCTCTTTGACTTTACGAAAAGTAGCGAACGCCTTGCTAAAATTCGAAATCCCGTCAACGTGAAACTGCAGATTGCGGTTTGCGGTTTCCCATGAAAAACACGATGCTAAAGGTCTCTAATTGTTATGCCAAATTTGGGGGGTAAACGAGGTGCATTATGGTCTATGTCAAAATGGTGCATTCGCTACTCAGTTGCTAAGTTACAAGCTTTCCGCGCAAAGACTTCCGGATTGTTTGGGTGGACAAGCGTTAGTTGTGATAGGTTAATAACATCCAAAGGCGACCATAAACCGATCATTGTTTGTAAATAGGCCACCCAATGATCCCAGAAATCTTTTCGCCGACAGCTTGTACCCATTCTCATCGCAGTTTATGGCAAAGTGAATTAGTTTTTCTTGTTGCATAAATGAATCCAAGTTATTTGCTGGCCCCGTAGTCTCCCACGCAGCCGTTTTTGTCACACCAGACTGAAGGAGCGTTGCGTGACCAAGTGGCAAGTGGGAAACTACTGGCCACGAGTAACCGCAAGAACCTCGGCAAATTGTTCTGAATGTTAGAAAGTTATCATTTGTTTGATTTTTTTTTCCGTCTTACTCTTTACTCCAGTGGTGGAAAAGAGATGGCACATTGTGTCAACAATTCAACTTGAAGGGAGTCCAGGCAAAAAGTATTCTGTTATCGCCTGATTTCAAGACCTTTGTGACAGTGGATAATGTAGGAATGATCTACGTTTTGAAGAAGATTTCTCCATGATCTGACCACTGGAATGTTCCCTAATAATGCTTGCATAACACAATCAAGTTCGATAAGAAATGTTTAGGATATACATATCGAATTCGTAAATATTATTGTGCTCCGAACTTGTCAGTCTTTTGAGGAAAAAAAATTGCTTCGCTATAACCGGACATCCGTGTTAAGTAAGTCAAAAAAGTTAAATTTATGAAAGGTTTTTAAAGAGCATTTTGTTTCCTCGATTTAGTTTGAAGATCAATTCTTGCAATAGAACGAGCCAAAAGTCAGCGTTCTCCATATTATTGTGGAGAAAAAAGATAGAACTCTTTATCGTTACATCGGGCATATTGAATAAATAAATTTTTAAGAATTTTGCGAGGTGTCTAGAGAAGAGAGGCAAGTTCTTGGCGAATTCGCGAAAAGTTTTTTCGATACAGAATGTCAGAGAGGAAAAGCCGATTTTTGTACCGTGTTTGGGTCAAAAAGAAAAATGTTCTTTCGAAAAGTATATCTAAATTTAATTCTTAGTTTTCAAGAAACCAAAGGTCATTGCTGCATCCAAATATTATTATTATTATTATTATTATTATTATTATTAAATTATTATTATTAATTATTTTTATTGTTGAATAATGAATTATTATCACCCAAATATAACAAAGATCGCCTTTCCTCGTTGGAATATGGATTAGGGTTGGGAAACGAAGTGAATGATGTTTCATATAGTCTTCATAAAAAGTCTGACATACCGTAGGTCGATGTGACTTTATCGCAACTTATTACAAAATTCAGTGCGATGAGGCTTTATAGTAGATAGGGAAAATAAATAAGTTCGTCCCCAGCTTGGTGGTTTTTCGTTTAAAATATCAACGGTAGCAGCGTTGTTTCTCCTTCTCTATTTTGATTGGTGGCAAACTTTTCTAAAATGGTAAATTAAGAATTTCAGAGTCGTCTTTTTATAAAATTTCTAATATATTTGAATGCAGATGTAAGTCCTGCTATGGCAGTGAAAATATATTATGTTATATTTGCTAAAAATCTGTTTAAAATTGCTCACACCCAGTAAATGCTCGTAAAGTAAGGCCTTTTTTCAATGACCTTTCACGGCCCATCCTCCAGAGAGTTACCCCGACGAAGGTATCGTCGTCTTCAGCATTAGGGACTTTAAGATCCAAAGACGCGACGGCAATGAGAACGTCGCTTAAAAAGTGAATTTGCGTTCTTTCAGTCTTTGTCGCAATTATTCCTGCCCTCTTACTTTGACAAATGTTGGCGAAACTTCCTTGAGTTGAATTCCTAGGCACCATATCCAACTACAGAGAGAGAAATAAAATTTCGTCGTTGCTTGTTTACGTCCTCCATAAAACGCGAAATTAGGCATGTTCACGTCGTAGTCGTGCAAAAACGGGCAGAGAAATGTACAAAAAAGCATGGTGCACGTGCAAAGTTGTTGTTTTGCTGATAAAACCTATGGTTTTTTTTAGGTTCTCGTTACCGTCCGCGTCGTTGGATCTTAAAGTCCTTATTTCCTCATCTCATACACTGTCCAGTAGCCGGGTATTTTTGAAAACGGAGGTTTTTTTCCTGCGTTTTAGCATTCCGTCCATGCGTAAACGGCGTTTTCGGGCACCAAAAATGCAGGTTTTCTATAAAGGTCCTAGAGTGCAGATTTTGGAAAACGCCGGCTTGTCGGTTACGAGTAGACGAACGAAAACGATGATGTCATGCATCAGAACCACTAGCATTGCGCGTGCTCCGTATCAGATGTTATCGTATTTCCATCGTTTTAGTGTTTTCATGTGGACGAACGAATACGCTATCTGTGGACGTGTGTTTTTGAAAACGGAGAGAAAAAAATATCTGGACAACGACCATGACAACGGCAACAAAAACCTTACTAATAAATTTGCTTTTTAAAAAACCTCTGTTGTGATTTTTTCCGACTCGCATAAAATTTCAAATTGAAGTTTTACAAACCGAAAGGTTCGGCCTCCAGCTCACTGAGAAAAGTCTTACTTTTAAGGGAATATGTGTCTCCCACGGAGGAAAAGCTTTGCTATTGAGGCCTTAGACTGTGAAAAACTGTCGTAAGGTTACATAGGCGTACCGGCAATTTTTTGCCAGGGGGGGCGGTAATCCATTTGCCCAAAAAATTCTTGCAAGTTGCCCAAATTTTTACAAAACAGTCGAAAGGAAACTAGGGCCATGCAGCAAAATAGGCCGTACTGGCATATGAAAGTGGCTCAATACAGTTTTTCAGAGTCAATACCTGCCAAGTTTGAGCATAAACTACGTCGCCACAAACAAGCATTTGGAAAAAATTGCCACCACAGTTGTATTAGATAAAGAGGGAAATTTGCCATGATCAGGATTGCACTGACATCGGAGCTGTCATAGCAACGAAATGACGCCATTACCTCTTATACTTGCAGCAATATTTCTCACTGGGAACTGTTCTTACAAAATCGTTCAGGGAAGCTCTTTCCTCCAATAGTCGCCTCGATGTTCGTGAAGTTAAAACGGAACTGTAAGAGCGTTATCGAGATATTTTGGGATGAAGTTTTTATTGTTAGAAATAAGGTAAAAAAGGAAAATCTTGATGTTTAGAAAACGGAGTTTCAATCTTATTAAAAACGTGTATGAAAGATCATGGAGATAGCTCCTGCCAATTGCTATAAGGAAGGATTTGATTAGCGCTCGATCTTGTTAGGGGTTTCGTAAACATTTCGGTCTACTTAAACAAATTAGTGAATAATTTTTAAACCCTCGATAGATTTTTTTAAGAAAATTATGATTCTTCTCGTAATTCAAACTGAGAATTAGTCAGCCACTTCACTTTCAGACCCATTGCTGAAGCGTGTTCTGCCACACACTGTTCTAGGAGCGGAGGTGATTCTAGAAAGTTATGCGGAAGTTTATTCTAATCAATTCATGACTGGAAATAGCCCACTCCAGCTAGTACAGTGAAGTACAGTGCCCAACAACAACAACAAAAAAATCAGCATATGATACCCTTCCCTTATAACCAGAAACTCATCACGTGCTAGGCAACCACTGTCTCGTGTGAACGTAACTGAATTATTACGCCGACTTCTGGTTAAAATAAATATTTATGTCTTCAAAATATAATAATAATAAAAAACATGGAAACACCTTTAAAAACTGGCTTTGCCCAAGTTTTCTCTTGCTGCCCAAAAAATCTGAGTTGCCCAAACTTTGGGGGGGCTGCAGCCCCCCTCGCCCCCCCCCAGCCCGTACGCCTATGTAAGGTTACTAAGACTAGAAGGTTTCTAAAGTGTCGGTAGAACGGGCAACAAAAACGTGCAACTTGTTCTGCAACATTACCGCAAAACGAGGTAAAAAGCGACGTTGCGCGTTTTACCGCCCACTATCAAACTTGTTAACATCCTGAGTCACTGCAAGGCAGGTTTGATGTTGGTGGCAAAACGCTCAACATCGCTATTTTTAACACTCGTTTTTCCAGCAATGTTGCGAGACAAGTTACATGTTTTTTGTTACCCGTTTTTATGTAAGATTTCTCTAATAAAAACAGTAGTAATTCATTTTTTGTCTTCTGATTAATTTTACAAATTGTAAAGATATCAAACAGTTAATGCCACAATTCCGTGATAAATAGTTAGTTTAATGGCCAGGGTGTATGGAAGGATCTTAAATTGCCTTACCGGTAGCCGTAAAACGGCCAAAACTGTTAATCGTTAGATTACACGAAGAGAAAAATTTATCCGTTTGTTGTACAAAATAGTTATTTGTAATAAATTGTTCTAGCCCTTACATGATTATACCTACGGTAACAAAAAACGTATTCCTGTAGGTCTTATATAAAGTGAACTGAAAGACTTTGCCAGTATTGCTTGCCTATTGTCAATAAAACAATTATTCCACCCCGAGGTTGTGCCTTTCTCAAACAACGTCAAGTGCTATTTGTAAGGCCTCAAGTTATCGGCCCATATAACTGTAAGGAAAAAAAAATACTTCCGATTGTAAGCCCCCCGCCCCTGTCAGATATAAACCCCCTCTAATGGGCAACTTCCGAAGTTCCTAAAACCCTCACTTTCAAAACGAGACCAAGTGCTTAACCTTTCTTTTGAAAAATGGCTTTTATTTGCACGATAATGAAAAGTCATTTCCATATCAAAGGCTGAGCACTTAACCTCGTTTTGATACAGAGGCCTGCAACATTCAGTTTATTATGACGTTTTGAAGCTTAATTGAAAACCAGTAAATGCGAGAAGTTTGATCAGCACTGCTATAGCTTATTGGCTTATTTTGGACCCCTTTTTCTATCCCGTTTATTAATCCCCTTGGATATAAGCCTCCCCCGTTTAATTTATAAGCTCTCCTAAAACCCCTTACGAAGATGTATAATCCCAGAGCGTAAAAGCGGCAGGTTACGATATATCACATCACCTCTTTCTTCTGGCGGATAACCCTCACATATTGCGTGAGTTAATTTACGGGGAACTTAGGAGTAACGGGTTAATTTCTAAAGAAAGTGTGATGTTGCGTTAGTGGGAGAGTGAAATACAAAAATTTTTGCTTTTATCAAATGAGTTTGAATCCAATCTAAATAAACAAACAAAACAAAAGTAGTCATACTGTGTTAGAGTATACTTCTCCTTTGCGGGATTAAATTTAGCCTATGGCACGCTTAGATTGGTTTATTTAGGGGTTTAATGATTCTAATTTTCCCTCGAGCATTCCCGTCTGTTTATTCAAATAAGAGTCTTCGCCTGGGAGTTCGAATAGCTCTCACCAAAGGCTACGGATACTAGCCTGCGCCTCGGACGGAAATTTTAAAATTCTGGTTCAGTCCGTCTGTGAAACAGCCCCGAAGTTTGATTGCGCGCCATGATTGGTCTGTTAAAAAAGTCATTGTCAAAAGACCTTGTTCACGATACCCGCCATCTTTGCACGCGCTAAAGGACTGATGGGAAAAATCAGTCACCTGGTTTCTAAGAGGGCAAACACTCGCGGTCAAGTTTGTTTACTCTAGCAAGAGCCATAGAGG